CAACGACATTATCGTGTTTTATCCCTGGCTGAGCTCCACTTTCCAATTATATTATAAAGTAATTAATTCGAACCTGGGGTACAAAAATTACAAAATAAAACATGTGTTTTATTTTTTAAAAAACTTTTTTATAAAATAAGTTGACAACACGTGTTTTCAGCAATTGAACAACCTCAAGGTTTTAAAATTGCTGAAAAATCTGAAAATTGAGTTTGTAGGGAATAGCTAATCAGCAGCTGCCCAAAATTCAACAATTCAGTAGCTCAACAATTAGGGGAATGCGAAATATTCTTAAGATCTGGCGAAACATTAACCACACCCTGTTAGGAAGCGTGTCCTACAACGCTCAAGCATATGTAATAAAATTCCTACCAAATTCATAGAACAAGTATTAGGTGAGCGGGGTAAATTCGGTGATCCTGCCGGGAACGAGAAGCCCGAGACTGAAAACTTTAAAGGAAGCATCAGTCAGTTAAAATCCCGGGAGCTAGCCTAGGACCGGACCTTAAGTAAGAGGAAGCATCAGGGGAGTCAAAAACATAAGGTGGCTACCTTGAAAAAAACAAGTGAGATCAAAGCTTATGACAAGTCCAAACCAAGGAAGGAAGGAAGGATCAAAGATCCTAGAGCGAACAGCGGAGTAAAACCGAGATCGACTGACTCCGAGAAACCAGGACCAGATTTAACACGACCAAAATTTCCCAGCCCAGTGCGGAAGAAAGCCAGCGAAAAAATGCAAAGTCGCAGTTAGGAGTTAGTTGAGATTGTCTACCGTGTATGCCATGAATGCCAAGAGTGGAAACAAAGACAATAAAAAACTAATAAAATAATGAAAAAGCTGTAAACATATTAAAAAGAAATACAATTCTTTAACTGTGTATAAACCAATTTAGTGTTCTTAACGAAGGAGGAGGCTAAGAATGAAACGATCAATCCATTCCCCCACTGATTTTTTAATTTTATTTAAGTTTAAAAAACAAATGCATTGTCGCAAATTGCGTGGGGCAGGTTCCAGCCTACTGTTTTTTTCGCAAGAGAAAACAGGGAAAAATACCTGGAAACTCTGATGATAAACCACGCTGCAAAGCGTGCCCAAGTGTGCAAGTTGCACTTTAGGTCGGAACGCTTCTTAGGAGATGCTCTTAGGAAGGGAAATGTTCCGACCGAACCTCAAGGTTTTAAAATTGCTGAAAAATCTGAAAATTGAGTTTGTAGGGAACAGCTAATCAGCAGCTGCCCAAAATTCAACAATTCAGTAGCTCAACAATTAGGGGAATGCGAAATATTTTTAAGATCTGGCGAAACATTAACCATACCCTGTTAGGAAGCGTGTCCTACAACGCTCAAGCATATGTAATAAAATTCCTACCAAATTCATAGAACAAGTATTAGGTGAGCGGGGTAAATTCGGTGATCCTGCCGGGAACGAGAAACCCGAGACTGAAAACTTTAAAGGAAGCATCAGTCAGTTAAAATCCCGGGAGCTAGCCTAGGACCGGACCTTAAGTAAGAGGAAGCATCAGGGGAGTCAAAAACATAAGGTGGCTAATTTGAAAAAATCAAGTGAGATCAAAGCTTAAGACAAGTTCAAACAATCTAAAGAAGGATCAAAGATCCTAGAGCGAACAGCGGAGTAAAACCGAGATCGACTGACTCCGAGAAACCAGCACCAGAACCAGGACCAGATTTAACACGACCAAAATTTCCCAGCCCAGTGCGGAAGCAACCCAACGAAAAAATTCAAAATCACTGTTAGGAGTTAGTTGAGATTGTCCACCGTGTATGCCATGAATGCCAAGAGTGAAAACAAAGACAATAAAAAACTAATAAAATAATGAAGCTTATGAACATATTAAAAAGAAATACAATTCTTTAAATGTGTATAAACCAATTTAGTGTTCTTAACGGAGAAGGAGGCTAAGAATGAAGCGATCAATCCATTCCCCTAGCCTGTAATAGATGAAAAATCCAAATCATTTTTTCGTTGTCCACGTAAAGACAGTATTAAATAAAAAAAAAACACGTTATAAAAAAAATACGTCCCCACTGACTTTTTAATTTTATTTAAGTTTAAAAAACAAATGCATTGTCGCAAATTGCGTGGGGCAGGTTCCAGCCTACTGTTTTCTTCGCAAGAGAAAACAGGGAAAAACACCTGCAAACCCTGATGATAAACCACGCTGCAAAGCGTGCCCAAGTGTGCAAGTTGCACTTTAGGTCGGAATGCTTCTTAGGAGATGCTCTTAGGAAGGGAAGTGTTCCGACCGAAATGTTGGGTACGTAAAATGAATTTCTATAATAATTCAATATATTAACTAACTTATATATACCTATCTCTTATTATATTTTTTTTTATTTACGTTATATTCCAGTGCATGAACTAACGTTTAGCACTTGGCAAAAGAGTTTTATCAAAAAAGGTAGGAGTACCATTAAAAATGAATTGAGCTCTCAAACTGAAACGCTAGAGTCTAGCTGTCCTAATAATTAAGCTGTGGATACTAAATGTATACTGCAAGGTTTCAGCTCTCCTAGTGATTTTGGTGTGAATATACCTCACAGATCGAGCTCTTCAATATTATTTAAGATATTGAGCTGATTTTAAGTACTTCGAAAAAGGATTGAGCTCTATTGTATATAACAAATGATTACTACAAGAATTAGCCTTAAGTCTAAAAAAAAAATGTGGCATTAACAAGAACTAATATAGGCTTTAAATTGCAAAATATTAAATTAAGAAATGAGAACAAAAAGTTAAGTTCCAGTAATATGTTTGATGCTAGTAAAAAATATTACCATTAATGGATTAAATAAAATTATCAATGAAAAGTTGTGTAAACTTAAGGCTGTCAATTCCCTTCTGGAAGTGCAATATGATTTAAAAGCGAAGCTGTTCTTGCTACCATCGGAGCATCGAAGAGACACTGGGAGGTGGCCCAATTCTGGCAGCGCACAAGTTCGAACAGCTGATCTTTTTAGAGCTCGTAACCCATCGATGCCGACGCTATCGATGTTTTAGAGGTAAATACTATCGCAAGTATCGAATTAAGCCAATTTGCAAATATATGGGGTATTCATCAAATAAATTAACTAGACCAAAGTGTATTTAATATTATCTTGATCAAAAATTTTAAAAAATTTGTATTATTTTTAAATTAATTTCAACTTCAAACAATAAACATAATAAAAATAATTACAGTAGAAGTCCAGCCTCTTCATTTCTAAAATCAGAAATGAACAAATTTTTATTGATAAAAATAATTTTATTAATGCCGTTTGATTTAAAAGCCCTAAAAAGTCTTGGCCTGCCTTCGAAAAATTCTCTCACAAATTCTTTTGGCCGACGGAGCCGGCAGTTCATTGCTCTGTACAAAATGACATATTTTTATGTAAAGAGAAAATAAGTTGTAAGTTCGCTAATTTAATCCCCAATATTCCAGTAGATAGCTGGAACTATCATAGTTTATTTTTTCAAAATATTGCTACAACAAATTCAAATTAAACTGCACAAAATAAAATTAAATTGAAGCTCATTTTTTTAAAACAATGTTTCTGCACTGGTAAATTAATATCAAGTTACAGTCTCTGGGAAAGTAAAATTTTAAACGACATGTTGAAGACTGCCGTTCAGCAATAATAATATATAATAGCCAGCCTTTTTCTTAATTTCCTATAATGGTTTATAAAAAGGATAAAGAAGTATAAAATATACCAAAAAATAAAGGACACCACTTGCACGTTTGTAGAAGAGTAACACGATGTTTTCAATTTTTAACTTTGTTTAAATTATCAATAATCAAATTAAGAATAAGACCTTAAGTAATTTCATTTATTAATATACCCAAAATTTAAAGAAAATTACTACACCACACCCTAATTTTCTTACACTGCGTACTTTTCGCCAAACACGTTGGCGAGACCGTTACAACTTTAAAAGCAAATTTATTTTCGGCATATTAAAAAAAGGGGCGGGGAGCAGCAGCTTCTTAACCGGTTCGCGAGAGCGAACGGGATGCTGCTTCTTGGTGTTGTAGATGGCGTGTTAGTAAACGCCAACACTACGGTTACGACACTACGTTACTGACACTTACGTTTGCCGACAAATTCCGTATCGCCATATGTTTACCAATTGGACCAGTTGAACTTGGCTAATTAGGGTAAAATCAAATACGTTTTTTATTATCGATGGCTTGTCGAATTGTCGATAGGAAGAACTATCGAAGTTTTTACAGCTATATTCGATATTATCGCCCGATTGTTTGACAACAGACCCCTGTTATACGTTCTTCACACAGCCGCTTAAAAGTGCTGTTGCAATTTTAAGTGGATTCTTGTTCAAATAGAGAGTCGCTGACCGGCATAAACAAACAACCTACAAAACGTGTGCAATTGAGTTGATTTCCGAAAAAAGGAAACATCTCAAAAGTAAATACAATTTCAGCAATAGCAGGTGAAATTTTTTCCGGTGCAAACGATTTCTGCAGTGCTATTAGCAAATGAAAGAGGAATATGAATTCCATTCAGTGAATATAAACTACTGTGGATTAACAGGGACGCCAAGACAACTTTCACAAAGTCTAACTGTTTGGACACTTTTAAGTATTTATAACACTTTTTTTTCTTTAACTAAATCCTTATTTTAAGCAACAGTTGACAGGTCTTGCCAGAAACGACATAAGCAGGAGGATGGTCATTTCCTTAAAAAACAACATTTCATGATGGTTTCCAAGCCTTTGAAAGGCTCCAACAACAATTTTCTTATTAAGGGCAATTGCAGTGCAATGCAAACCTGTAAAAAATACTGAATAAATACAGGAAAACCACTTTTCCCGCGAAACAGAGTTTCTTTTTAGCACGCGTATTTCGTCTGCGAGAAAAAGTCGCTGAAGCGAAGTTAGTTCGCTGATGCAGAAACAGTCTCTGTCTAAACACCCTATAAGCGAAAAAAAACCAGTGTGACCGGCCACGGGAACTGGGAAATATACCGCGCAATACCTTTCGATTCACATCGTCAAAAAATTTTGGTCTGTGAAGTTCGTGCGGATGAAATTCGATTTCAAAGCCAGCGAAATATGCAAAATAAAGTGAAATACCAGTGCCTCGCGGACGAGGAGCGCTTCAGCGGAGCGTCCCGCAGCCTGTAGAGCCAAAAGAGCGGCCCCAAATCTGGTAATTTCGCGGCGAAAAGGTGCGTTTTTCGTTTCGCTTTTCGGTGTGTGTGAAAAGTTTCTACTGCAATCCATTTTTCTCTACGTGCGTGTGCGGCATACGTGTGTGTGTGTGTGTGTGTGTGTGCGAGGCGAGCATGTGTGTGTGAGTGTGGAGTGGGGCGATGTAAAAATGCCTTTACATAATTACATAGACAATTGCGAGGACTTTTGTGCATACCGCAAGCTTGCTGAATTACATAAAATCATCGCATTTAGGTGCGTGAAAAAATACGCGGCTTCCATTTTCGTTCTATTTACTCGCGACGTCAGCGTCGCGGCTGTTGAATTTATGTCAAATTGGTAACACACACACATGCAGGCCAGGCGGAGAGCGCGCGTATGCAGGCCCTAACTGCATGGGTGTGTGAGTGCGAGAGAGAGCGCAAAAGGGAGAATGATAAACAAAGTGAAAAAAACAAGCGGCTGTAAAAATGCCCGCAAGTGTTTTCAACTGAAAATATGGTTGTTTAGCATTCTAATTTAACAATTTTAAAACCAAAATATCGACGCTTATTCTTTCCACCTATAAGCAGCACAACTTTTTAACTGTTTATCCTCCACCCTTCGTTCTCCCTCCCTTTTTCGCATTTAATATGTGTAATCTCCATCGAATGCAACAACAAAGGTGCGCGTTAAACAACAACAAATAGCATTGTTTTGCGAGAGAGCGAGAGGGAGAGAGTGCGATCCGCTTGCCAGTGTGTGCGAGCACACGCACACACCACACGCACACACACGCATGGAAAATAGAAAAATCGAAAAATAATAATAATCAGCAAGCAGGAGAAGAAGAAGCAGCAGCAGCAGCAGTAGTACAAACAGCAAAAGTGTAGTTGTGATCGAAAATCGAAAGTGTGAAGCATTTTCTATAAATAGTGCAAAATCAAAACCAAATTCCCAGTGCAAACAAAAGCGCAATAAAAAACAATAACAAAAACCGGGGATAAAGCGAACAATATAACAACGATAAATATACATATAACTGGAGCGGTCGATCGATCTCACAGAGCGCGCGCTCTGCACAAAGAAAGCAGGATTATCTGAAGGATCGCCTTAGTAGAGGATCTCCAAGATGTCCTCGCTGGACGCGCGCAACAACTCGGCGATGATGAAGCGGGCGGAGCAGCTGAAGCGCTGGGAGGAGTCAGACACCAACCGCGCCGCCCCCACCCCCCGCCACGAGCACGGGCGCCGGATCAAGTTCAGCTCCGGCTGCGTCTTCCTCGCCGCCTGCCTCTCCGGAGACAAGGACGAGGTCATCCAGCTCCTCGACCAGGGCGCCGACATCAACACAGCCAACGTCGACGGCCTGACCGCCCTGCATCAGGTTCGTCTCATTTTCCTAGTACTAGCTTAATTATATGGGATCTTTATAATGAAAAGACTGCTGGGTTTTTAGCATATACATTTAGAACAAATCACATATTTACCATCTATCGACTGTCACTTTCTAAGGATTTGCGATTTTTATATTCAGAAGACTACTGCGATTTATATATTTTGGTTTTAACCCCTGTTTACTAGCTGTGTCAAATTGGAAAGCAAACAATCAGCCGAATAACAAAAAAAAATTATTGTTTTCTGTCTGCTATTTGTATTTCTTTTAACTTGCCAAGTATTAAACATGCCTCAGTCCAAATTATTCTCTAGCTGCGGATAAGGAATAATTAATAATTTAATGTTCGAGGGTTGACAATAAAACTAGTGCATATTGCCATATCTTAAAGGAATGCACGTTTAATGGTGCGTGGATTGAACTTTTCTTAGTTGCTTTTTGCCAAGGGCTTTGGTTTGACCTATTTAATTCAAAATTGAGCTCCAAAATTGTATAGTTGCAACTTTTTATAGAACAACTGTAGCATCCATTTTTTTCTTTTTTAATATTTGATTTATTTTACGGTAAACAAATGAACCATGATGAATCATTTTTATTTTTTGCACTTTATAATCATGGGTTTTTTAGTCAGTAGACTAAAAATAAGCATAAAAGATAAGAAGGATTTTAGTAAGCAAAGAAATTAAAAATTTAAAAAAGCGGAATCACTTAAAAATAAATTCAACTTAAAGTTAGTAACCAAAGAGTATAAGAAACTTCAATAACCTAATGTGTGTACATCCTTTTAGCGATAGCAAAACACTTTTGCACCTATTCAATGGTAAATATTAAATATTAATAAGATTTTTGGGGTAGAAGGTGCCCAGTACTAAACACTCTATAAAGGGTTGAATCTACATCAGGTGCGTTCTCCATTTCATCAATTATGAATATCCATTTTGCATTCTTTTTTCGTTGGGGATTGTTTTCCCTATAGAAGGGGGCAGAACGTTGCGTCAGTCTGCTGCAATTGCGATCACGCGACCAGGCGAGGGGGTGGTGGGGGCGGAACGGGCGCAGGGGAATGCAATTTCGACACAGTTGCGTTGCGTCCAACTGTGGTGCTGACGTGGGCCGTACGGTGGGTTCCATTCCATGCTCCACCGAACAGTTTATAAAAAAAAATATAACTAAAAATACCTGAAGAAATCGAGGAATGTAGATGATTTCAAAATAAATCTGTCTAATAAAAACCATGAGTTACAATGTTTTTTTTGGTCGTGCGTAGTTTAGGCTTTGATTTGGAAAATAGAAGTTGACTTTTTTGAATCGTTAGAAAGGGATTGTAAATGTGTTAATTTAAAATAAATACAATATTAAGATTTAATTACATAAATAGTAAAAATAAAATTGCAAGTAACAAACCAATTTTCAAAATATTCAATTTAATTTATTTCAATCCTATCGCGACATGTTTCTCTCTTTAATTAATAGCGCAGGTCACTATTTAATATATGTTGGACATTATTATAACAAATATTGACCTATAACTACAGCTTAACCTAATATTTCGGGCTTAAAAATGAAGTCATATTAAATTCTATTGCATAATTCCGGCTTTATTTCATTAATAATCTGCAAGGGGATCATCCTAGCCCAATCAAGGTCAAGAGGGCACCTTATTTTAGGCCCACTGTGCAGCGCCGATCGCCAGACGCTCGACCATTGTTTTTGTTGCGTATTTCGTGCTCTTTCTGTGGTTTCAACACCGCCGCCGCAACAACAATTCGAATTTCGAATATTAACAAATACACTCAACAAATACATGGCTAATGCAAGCCGACGATTTACAAGTCGAATGGCCAGAGCAACAACAGCAACAACAACAAGCGAAAGGCAAACGGCCAAAAGCATTAAATAAGAAAAATACAAAATGTTCTATTTTTAACCCCCAAGAAAAACATACAATACTCATACACATGAAAGCCAGTTTACATATTGAAAGCCCAAAGATTTTCGCAAAATCATTTTTGGTTTTCCTCTCATTTGTTTGGGTCGATTTCGTTCTATGAAGAACACAAATTAATGATACTTGCTGGCAAGGAAATGATATAAAACCAAATTTTCGCTCATTATCAGAAAATCCGATTATTAACTGTATAATTCCATCTAACACTTAAATTATAGTTTTGTTTTAAATGTAATTATTTTAGGTCAAAAAAGATCCAGATAGGACTAAAAGCGATTCAAATTGAGTCCAAATTTTGGAATGATTGAAACTCAAATTACTTACTCCATAATAAAGTGTGCCCGTAGCATACCACACCCATTTAGCCCCCATTTTAATTATGCTGAAATTGGATCAAGAACTGAGAATTTTGAGATGATGGGTGATATAAAACGAATGAGATTTTCATGGAAATGGCTTACCATTGAAATTCTTTATTAGATATTATAAAGAACACCACTTTTTTTTATCAAAGCATTCTGCATGTCCGCTGCCATCTTGCACTCACTGTATGCTCTGCTCCAATTCAATATAATTGATTCTAATTATGCTGCGCCAGCAAGAGTCGTAGATTTTCACCGTTTAACCGCGGCGCACTTGTTAACCAGATGCTAATTTGCGCAGCACGGGCGTCGCGGGGAGGGTTCCACTGTCTGGGAGTGCACTGTAATTACAGCAACAGCAACAGCAACTACAACAGCTACAACTACAGCACAATAATAAATAATAATAACAATGGGAACAGTGCAAACGTTTTGAATTACCTGCCACATTGTGTGCGGTGCAAGTGCGGTCGCAACCTGCGGCTATTTGCTTCACTTGCCGTTGTCGTTTTTGCTAAACCGCAAAGCAGAATTTCGATTGCATTTATTAAAATAATTATCTTATCGCCTGCACTTACAAGTCCTCTAATGGTTGCAAAAGTCCACCCCCGCGCTTTCTTTGTTGGTATCTACATATGTATGTAGTGGCTTTCCTTTGGCCCATGCCGCACCAATTTCACATGCATACATTTTCAATGTTTGGGCCTTCCATTCATAAGCATTGACAACGACAGCACCACACCTGCACCACATTTTCAATGGCATGCGACACGATTGCTGCAGACGGGAGAGGCCACAGTGGTTCGAATACTAGTGTAAACTGTCATAAAATTGTATTTGTCAAAGGACATTTTGGAATGTTAAGAAATAGCTTGAAAAGCTTTTAGAAATCGCACAGCACAATTGTTTTGATAAGAAACACAGACTTCCTTTGCTAAAGCAAAGAAAAATTACAATAAGAAATACTTTATGTGATAGCATACTGAAACAAATTCGGATTGTTTTGCAAAATAAAATGTGTTTACTTAAATTTTATCCGCTGATTTGATTTAAAATAATTTTTTATAAATTTATTTTGGGTGTAAATGCCTATTTAAAAGAATTTAAGACATTAACATTAATTTAAAAAAACACTATTTTATTTGAGAAATAACGTTCTTGATATCAAGACGAAAGTGCTCTCGAGTTAGTTTTTCGAGATATGATTTTAAATTATAGATAAATATAGTCTCTATTTTGTTTTTCGAGATGAAAGAAATCTCGCAACCCCAGATCACTTCATTACTATTTTAAGAGATTCAGATTTAATCCATCATGGGTCACTTTTAAGATCGTGGAAAGTAAAATTGTTAGTCCTTAAATATTAAATCTATTTGTCCTAGACTTAGTTCTTGAATTGGTAATCTTTATAAGGTAAACTTAACGAAAAAAATTAAATAAATCTTATAAACAACTTTATTTTTTACTTTGTTAAGTAAAATAAAATAAAATAGTGGTGTTTTATTAGATCCACTGTATTTCTCCGCTACCTTGGACTTTATATGAATGATGTTGACTGATGGAGAGGAAGATAGAAAACGGAGGACGGAGGAGGCTGTTGCAAGTGACCGTGTATCCATGCCGTTGGCTGACTTTGATTTTTCATGTGGCCTACAAGCTAGCAGCGTGCATTGACGTTCAAACTCACTGGGGGACAAGTGGGAAATTATCAAAGAAATGGCAATAAATTACGTGTGTTTACAAGCGTTCAGATTCAGATATTTACATTTAAATACAGTTCAAGGATAATGTGAGGCTATTTTTTATAAATATCTTATAAAATTATATTTCATGGTCCACACATTCTTCACACGAATCAGTTATGAACGTTAAATTTAGAATTTTTTGGAAATACGTGGGCTTTGCCGCAAAATTTATAGTTCATTCAGTGTGCCATATGGAAATATGTGCTAATTATATTAAAATGAATCATTTTGTACCTTTAAAGTGAAACTATTTGGATGAGACAAATGTAACACCCTTACCAAAATTATAATTTGTTAATTTAAGACACTTTGTTCTTAGATTTAAAGTTTGGATACACTAAATTTAGTAACCGTATTTATTTGATAAAAGGTTTGCCTTAATTTGCTTAATTTAGCCATTTATAAAAGACTCCCAGCTGTATCAAATCTGGTTTTCTTGTCCCCTGAGTGCGAATCTATGTTTCTTCATTAATCAGGCTCTTTCAATGATATGCTCAAATTGAGAATTGATTTATATACATACATTTCTGCCAATTAGCAATTGATATATTTCGATTTAAGTAGGGGGCCAGGAGAGGCAAGCTGGCGCCGCATAAATTAAGAAATTATTCTGTCAAGACTTCTCTCAAATTGAGCTATAGTCAGTGTTGAGTGCATATAATAATCGTAGCAATCCAATCGTAGCCGATCCGTTGACATGACGATCGTGAGCCGCAGATCGATGACGAGTCCTGATCGTTTGGGGAGTTGGTGGTTGGGAAAAGCTGCGTGAGTTTTCCCAAATAAAAACACGCTGTCTTAGCAGTCGCTAGTAGATTTGTTGCTGTCGGCTAACGCGCTTTATTGACGTGTTTTCTAACCTTGGCCCGGTTCTCGACGGACTGACGGGACGGACAGCTGTTGAAACGCACAGCTACAGACTACAAACTACACACTACACCCGACAGACTCACAGATACAAATCGAATATCCTCAAGAATCAGTAGCGCGTGTATACGGAATGATCTCTGGATGTATCTGTTAGGTTGTTTGTATATAAATGGATGCGATGCGGTCGCTACACTTGATTTGATTTATTTCTCGTTTCGTGTTTTACACCCAAAATAACAAACGAATGCGAATGATCAAAATGAAAATGAAAATTCGCTCTATGCCAGATACAATTTGATGTGATGTCTGCAGTCCGCTGTCCGCTGTCCGCATCTGTATCTGCCAGTATCTGATGTGTGCGTTGCATAATACCATTTCTAGCCATACAGCCAGCCGACAAAATGTATGCCATTAAAAATGTTTCGTTTAACAGCCGAGTTTCTCTGATTTAGGCCTATCCAATCTTTTCTTTTCCTTTATATCTGGTTGCCAATTCTGCCGACGCCCGATTATAATTATTATACATTTGCCTGCACGCGCCGCTCCGCACACACACGATCTAAAATCTTCTGTTTTATGGATAAACGAACCGAAACCAGCGGGAACTATAGGAAAAACAATAAACTTTTTGCCAACCCATGACGACATGAGCTCAGAAATAGTTCAGCAGAAAATATATTAAATTCTATACGCATTTTATGCAACCATTGTTATATTTGTTCTTGGAAAATCTCTTGATAATTGTTTTTATAAATACTATTTTCCATCAGCTAGTGGTCGTCATATCCGAGAAAGAATTCCATGAACTAGTAAAACCCTATTTATTTTACTAGTTCCTGGAATTCCCATTTTCGCACATTAACAATTTGTAATAAATTTGGGAGATATATATTTTATCAACGACAACTTGCTTTGGTGAAAGTTTAGGGTGATTATCATATCAGCTTATTCACGCTTGAAATCTTAGGTAAATAAACATTAAAATGATAAGATTTTATTTTTATAAAGCGTCGTAAAAAGCACAAGTTTTTCAGAACTAAAAGGTGCAGCAATTCAGTTACTAAAAAATAATAATACTAATAATTTTTATATTCTTATATTTTTTATAAACTTGTAAATACAATTACAATGTATTTCTGAGCACACCAGTGAACACCATAAATCTTTAGAATCATAAGGAAATTGTCTAGATTCTTGTTCCGTTTGGATTTTCTTTTTGTTTGTTTATTTTTCATTTTGCAATCGCTTGTGTTCATTATTTTTCACACATCTTTCCAGTCCAGCCAGATGTCTCGGTTCCACCTGGCCGAGTTAAAAAAAGAGATATATTCAAAGTCGGAAATAATTTGCCTGACCAAAAGCGCCTACTCAAACGGCGCTGTATAAATCGTTATACAATTTGGCAAAAATATGCCAAGCATTTTTAGTGGCAAAAAGCTATTGAGACACATGAGAACTTTTCTTCAAGAAAAATAAAAGGAATAGAAACGAAAGACATTGTTTGAAGGCTTTGCAATATGCGAGAACATTTCGCAGAGCGAAAATGCCTCGAAATCGGTTGGATATAGGCACGTCTAGATATATATACTGGTCTATACGTATGGGTATATATCATATGGTTTATGTAGATTCTTTGCACTTTTATCTTGTGGCGCTAATTCAAATTTGTAATTTATTGAACTCAAGCGGTTGGCTCGTCTATTTTGGCATTTGGTTTATAATATATGTACATTTGGTTTCTTTATTGTATACTAAGGCGGCAGGTCAATGAGTGGCAGGGAATGTATTTTCTTAAAACGTATTTTAGAATACAACAAATTTCATCATCTTTTATGTATTTTAATAGCGGATCATGGGAAAATAAATGTGTGCTCATTAATGATAAAGGAATCCACAAAGGAAAAATAAATAAATATTTCTTTGTTCATCAAAAAAGGAAACATAAAATGAAACATTAAATTCTATTCCATACCATTATAAATTAAATAACTATATTTAAAAAATTTTTTTTTAATAATTTTAAAATTATATTAAAAGGTCTGTTACATTTTATTGAAGCTTAAAGAATATTTGCTTTAATTAATTGTGTTTAATCTTTTAGAAGTGCTTGTAGTTTAAATAATGTTATCTAAACGAACCAATAATGACTTGAAAATTTAATAGGGCTTAAGCAGAACCGAAACCCCCAAGCCTGCTCTTTCAAGAAGTGTTTTCCATGGAACTCTCGTGCCTGGCCTCTTCATCAAAGGAACTGTTCAGGCTATTGAGTTATAAGCCAGAATTATGTGCATTGATGGTTAACAAAGCGGGGGCCAAATGGAGCTTGGCGCCTGGCAAACTACCGCGTAATGAGCCACGTTAAGCTGGCGGCCTGGCGGCCCAGAGTCTGAATGCCGTCTCAACAAGTCGCTGTTGGCCTACGCGGCGTATACGTAATGCGGCGAGGTGAATAACATTTGGCGTGCAACGGCTGAAAATGCCGCTCAATGGCGTGCCAAAACAAAAGGCTAAACTTAGCATGCAGTTTTTTTTTTATTTTTTTCTTTTCGCTTTTTTCACTGCTTTTCGTTTGGCAATGCAAATGGAAATAGCGTAGAATCCGTTGCTCTGACATTAAGGCCCAAAGTCTGGGGAATCGCTGTTGAGGGAATTTCGCTGATGGAATAGCTCGTGTCAAAAATGTTTGCATACCACAGAGTCACTGGGCATTGTCGTCGAGTCGATTTGTGGATGGTCACGCGTGGGCGTTGCCGCTCCGCAAAACCCCTTTTCCTGCACCGCCCGGTCGGTTTATCAAAATTGTTCATAATTAATTAATTGGCTGCGTTCCAGATTTACAAATTGTTTGGCCCACCCCCCGAGTCTCTCTCTTCTAGTCTTCTTTTTTTTATTTGTTTTACTGCGAAATGGAAATTGCTTTTGGATTTAAAAATCAACGGCAAAGAAGTCACTTTGAAGCTCAGCCAGTAAAGAATTGGAATTAACATATGCCGAGGAAAGAAAAGAAGAGAAAGATAGAGAGACAAAGACAAGAATCGGAATCGGTCATTTGATTTTTATAATGCCCCACTCCCCAAACGTGCTCTGTTATTAAGGCGGGAAGGGGGGTTGGGCGTGAAATACACAGGGAAAACAAAGCTAGAAGTATCTTCAGTTTATTTTAAGTATCTAATGGATATTATCTAAGCCAACATACCATACAAATAAAATAATTTAAAAAAAAATGCATCCATTTTTTACATTTTACGATACCTGTATAATTAAAAAAGAATGGTATATGTTTTGAAAGTACCTTGTTATCTTTTTTGTATGCTCAACAACTATCTGTGGAATTAAAAAAGGAAAGGTATATATTTTTAAAGTATCTTGTATCTTTTCAGGCAACAAAATCTACTTATTGTATCGTTTGAGCCCCAAAATTGAAATGTTTGATAAGCAAACTATTTTGATAGGGGGATTTTGACAATTTGCCAATAACATAGCTTATGAATACCACGCAAGATAAGAACCTTTTGTATATTGGAATGTGGTTGTCGTAGATTTTTTGTGCTGTGCATTGATAGAGTTAGCGCCTTTTGTTGTGGGCCTCTCTTCTTTTACTTTCTTTTCCTTTGGCTGAGCTGTTGCTTTTGCGCCAAAGAATGCTTATCGGCATTTGCAACTACGAGGCGTTGTCGTCTCCATTCGACTCAGTCCGACATTGTTGTGGGGTTGGGGTTGGGTTGGGTTGGGTTGGTTTGGTTTGGTTTCTTCGCTGGCTCACAGATACAGATAGCAGGGGACCCAAAGAAGCGCCGGAGTAGCGGGCGATGATATCATCGTTCGGTGGCGTGCATGTGCCATCCAGCCAAACGAAGATGTCTAGGCGGGTTCAGCGGAAATCCGCATAAACAACCCAACCATGCTGGATACACTCTCTGCTTTGGCTTGCGTCTTCACTGGCTGTTTACTTTAGCGTTTTAGCAAGATAAACACAAAAATTTTAAAACATTTTACTAGCTCTTATAAAAGCAAATCGAAAGCACCAGCGAATCTCTTCTACGAAAGTTGATTCAACTTTTGATGCACTGCATTTACGACTTTCGTCGGGAAATGGAATTGTTTTTCTGGCTATAAAAATTTAAATAAATACATTTCATTTGGCAAAGTAGAACGGTTTCAAGGATTGATGTTTATGGTTGTGACCTTTCAATGTGGAATTACAATGCATTACTATAGACAGACGTAGGCATATTGTAATAACCATGCCTTAAGCTTATTGACAATGTCTATTATTTCGTATTTTAAGATCATAGTTGATTAAAATTTACTTTACTTAAAGTAACTTCTTTCATCACTGTTTCTATAACGATATAATAACAAGACATTAATAGCTGTTGGAATTACTTGTGGGTGCCATGAAAATTCCATTATAAATCTGTACTTGACAATAGAGTGCCTTTTTATTACATGTTGATTATAAGTAATAATACTTTGTCTCATTTACTAAATCAAGTACTCATCTTTATATTTTTACAGGCGTGCATAGATGACAATCTGGACATGGTGGAATTTCTGGTGGAGCGAGGTGCCGACATAAACCGACAGGATAATGAGGGCTGGACGCCCTTGCATGCCACTGCCTCCTGCGGGTTGGTTATAAATCAATATTCCAAGAAACTTAGTTACTGATTAATGTATTTATCGCATCACCTAGCTTTGTGAGCATAGCTCGGTACTTGGTAGAAAATGGCGCTGATGTGGCCGCTGTGAACAGCGATGGCGATCTGGCCTTGGACCTGGCCATCGATGTGCAACACATGGCCATGATCGACTACATGGAGAAGATGGTGCAGGAGCTGAACATAAATGTGGATGAGGCTCGAAAGGCTGAGGAGCAGGCGATGCTGAACGATGCCAAAAAGTGGCTGAGAAGCGATGCCGCCGAGGTGGACAGACCGCATCCAAAAACGGGAGCCACAGCGCTCCACGTGGCCGCCGCTAAGGGTTACACGAAAGTTCTGGGCCTGCTCCTGGCCGGTCGTGGCAATGTGGATCGCCAGGACAACGATGGCTGGACGCCTCTGCACGCGGCATCGCATTGGGGTCAACGGGAAACGGCCGAGATGCTCGTGGAGTCACTGGCCGACATGGATATACGCAACTATGCTGGGCAGTCATGCATCGATGTGGCCGATCGCAAAATAGTCAAATTCCTGGAAGAACTGCGGGCCAACAAACGCAACAAACGGCGACCATCTAGTCAAATCAGGTGAGAAAAATTAAAAACAAATTCCAGAATTAATTCTGGGATGCAAAATGATAAATTAAATCGATATTGGTTTAGTTCAGTGAGTTATATATTTAGTGCATACATATTTATAATCGTCAAGTGAGCTTCGTATTCGTTTCAATTGCCCACGATAATAAACAAATCGTTTTGTAGAAGATTGCATGATTCATTCATAATTAAAAGAAATTAAATATATTTATATTTCTTTAAAATAAAAATGATGTTTCTTAGGAACTAAACGTTGAACAGCACATATTTTGTATGACTTAGCATATAAGGTGAATCATTTTCATAAATAATGTTTTTGCTAAACGAATCATGGTTAAAATTAATTTGAACTGAAGATTGTTTTTAACTTTTATAATAACGATTGAGTCTGAAATAACGCTATGATTTTGCATACCCAAAAGTAAATACATTTAAAATAAAACATCTTATTAATCCACATACTGTCTATCTTTTTCAGCAGAATCTCAGATACGATTGAAAATCATGTGGACAAGACGCCCACCAAACTGGTGCGCGTTGAAGTGAGAACTGATGCCACAAAGGATGGTGCGTATGCCTGCATTATAAAGATATATATCCAACCTTACCTTGGCTGCATAATATAAACGAAAAGCTTTCTTTGATTTCTCGCACACACACACTCTTGTGTTTGTCCTGTTTATTATCCTGTTTAGGTTCTCATGCGCGATAATCCTGTGTTGTTGGAGCATTTAATCGTAAAACATTTGCCACTGCCTCTCGTATTTTAGTCACTCAAGATCACGTTGTCTAGTTTAACTTGCCTTCATCAAGCTCATGATCATCCATCAGTAGAGCCCCTTTTTTCTCTCTGTGTATCTGTATCGTGTCTCTTTCTCTCTCTCTGTATTTGTGTATTGTCTTTGCTTGTAAATCACGCACACTGCAGCTGCCAGTGGCTCAAGTGAAGCTGCCAAAGCTGAGGCTTTGATTCCAATCGCTGCTGATGATGATGATGGTGAAGGTGGAGGAGTGGTGGCCACTGGCCAGAGCGATACAGAGGAGCTGAGCGATTCCACGGAAAGCTCACACTCGACCAGTCTTTCCGAAAGCGAAGGTAGTCGGCACTTGTTTTGCGTCCTGATCGAGGAATTCCTCGTCGAACCCTGTCTGTGATAAGCCCGCCTATGAGCCACTAACCCAACCCTTGTTGTTTATGGTTTTGAGATAAATATTAATATGGTTCATCTATTGCTCTTTCAGCTGAGAACGTCAAGCCCAATCAGCAGATCCATGCCACCGAACATGCAGTCGAGGAGGAGGCGCCCTGGCGACGCAAGCTGCCACGGACACCAAACGACAGTCCCACTAATAATCGTAAGTCTTACTGAGAGTTTGTAAAATGCGTTCTAAGAGCTCAAGATAAATAATTACAAATGTTTATTTAGAAAAGTCTAATCTTCAGACAAAGAAGATATATGTTCATTCAATTTTAATATAAATTATGTAATTCACAATGTTAACAAAAATTTCAAGTCCAGATTCTTCAATTTATTTAACTGATTAAATTCTGAACTAATTAAATTTGTATATTGAGGAACTTTGTATAATAGGTATACACTCTAATAAAAGATACTTACATTGTATGTATGTCAAATTATTTTTTGAAGAGTTCCCAGTTGAATCTATTATATTTCAAGAACAAAATACTCTTATCTGAATAATTGTTTGAATGAGTTAATTATGGTTACATGGCTACAAATGTCACAGCCATCTGGAAGCTCTGAAACGCATTGCAAACGTCTATAATCGAATCTGATAATAATAATCAACATAATTATCATCTTGCAGAAGTTCCTGATAGAGAGCTTAGCAGCAATAGCTCGGAGACCGCCAACGACGTCATTTTGCGACGCACGCAAAGCTTTGAGAACGATCAAAAGTGAGTTGAATCCAAAGAAAATAAAACATTGCGTGCCGCTCACACACAAACACACAATCGCATCACAGATTAACCCACATATATAATGAACATTTATATACAAACACTGATCGGCCAAATTGCACCGAAAGGTCTTGATTTATTGGTTGATTTTGCAGTCTGCTTTTCACTTTCCGCCGATTGCATATGCTTATCATTGCCGCACACACTCACACTCCAATGTTTAACCAGTCATTCAGCCTTTCGCGGAATACTTATATTGATAAACAAAGAAATTCTAATTGTGTATGGGTAATTGTTTAAATTTACCCCTGGTGGTATCATGATCTGGGAAAGCTTCCCGAATCGCCATGAATCACAAGCTTTCCATTAATGAGCTTTTTCCAAAACACCATTCGCATTTGGCAAAGTGAAGCGTTGACTGTAAAAGGCAACAAATAAGGGAAAACAAAGTATTGAATTTGATTTTAAAGTTTTTGTTTTGCTTTATTTTTTTCCCACCCTTCAATACAAATAAACAAACCAAAAATTGTATCACCAACGCACCACAACCAACCAAAAACAACAACAAACTCATCAAAACGCTTATCCCGAAATCTAACCCGCCCGCTCGCCCACCTGCTCGCTCCGCCCGCCCACCTGTACGCCCGCACGAACGTTCGACCAAAAAAAATGAAAAACAAACGCCTGTAAAATCGCTCGCAAAAATATCCTCGAAAATCGCTCGAAATATCATCTGAAAATCCGTATGACAGATTCTATCAAAAGTACAATGAGCTGCGGGCACGCATAAAGGCCAACTCCTGTCCCATTCTGCCGGCGAATGCGAACGCTAATGCCGCTGCTGCCAATAATTCCAATAACAACAATAATCTTAGTAGCAATAACAATCATAATAACAACAATAACAACAACAAAAGCGATCTGCTGTTGGGATATGCTGCTGGCACAACAACAACAAGCACCTCCACGACAACTTCAACAACAATCAGTACATTCAACAACACCCACTCGAACACCAACAACACAAGCACACCACAACAACAACCAGCAGCAGCAGCTTCGGCAACAAATCAATTATATAGCGTACAAAGATCGGCCTCACTCAAAGATAACTCAATGTATTACAGGTTTGTTTTGCATTCAACACGTCCTAAGAAATAAACTAGATCAGATTGTTTAGATACACTAAGTAAACGTTGTTGAAATTTAGATAACAAAAACATTTTATATACTTACATTGTTAAATTATTTGAAAGTAGTATTTAGTGTTTAAAAAGATAACTAATATGTTATATTATATATAATATTTAGTCAAAATTGTATATAAGTAAAATTGTTAATATAATGTATACCAAGAAGAATCAACTATAAATTTAGATGTCATTGTTTAAGTAACTTTACTATCATATTTTAAGATCCCATTTGAAATTTTATAATGTATTTTCTTATCTTAAGATCTGATCTAGTTTAAGGAACCACTCATAGCTGTTAACCCCAACTTAATTTGTTGTAACTATTAACCTAACTGTGCTTAGCTTCTTCTCGTCTACACCTTCAGAACCAAAACTCATTGCACCAAACTATTTAACATATTTTCCTAGGCCACGCACCAATGTCGTCTACTTTCTCTTGGCTGTATACCCCCTTAAACTGTGAACCCTTCTTTAAAATCCTTTTATTTTAATTATCCTCAGGAAACCGAACGTTACGATTGCCACGCCAACAAGTGCTGCAGCCACGGCAAACACGGCGCTCAATTCTCCATCGACTGTACAGACCCCACCAATTCGCAGGTGAGTTTATTATTTAGAACACTTTAAATAAATATATTCTTTAAAAACTCCGCTGTCGATCAATTAGCCAAGTTACAGCGAAATCAGCAGAAAAGAGCAATAATGGCAGCTCGTCCACGGCCAGTGTCAGCGATGTGGAGAGCTCCAAGCCACCGCCCAAACAATCCGCGAGCAATATGATCAAAAACTTCTTCAAGTAATGAAAGAAAGAGAATTATTTATTGTTTTCATTGACGTTGAGCTAACCCCGCCAGCAAACTGCTAACCCAATTTCTGCTCCCATCAAAGCCTTTTTGTGTAGCATGATTTACTTAAGATATCTGCAAAAAAATGATTAATTGTATTTAACTAAAGACTTTGCTTTCTTAAAATGTTTTTCTTGAACTTGAACATAAAAATGTGAAACGTTTAAAAAATGCCACTGTGCAGTTCAAAAAGAATTTGATAAGATTCATCGAAAACCAGACATGTCAAATGCTTTGGATTTTAAAGATAACCCCAAGATTTTAAAACCTTAATCTTTACAGACTAACTAATTTTTTTAAAAACTTTCGATATAAAATGTCGCTGTATTATACCATGTGTTAAGCTTGAGTTATTTAAGTGAATACAGCTACTTACTTCCCAAAGGGAAATACGTTTACAGCCCTTTTAATAAAATTCATATATCTAAAGTTACAATTTTCTAAAACTATATCCACTCCACCCAAATTGTAGATCGTTTGTGCCACCGGTGCGCGATGAGGAGAGTGAAACGCAGCGAAAGGCACATGCCAAGCGCGTGAGGGAGACTCGCCGGTCAACCCAGGGCGTTACTCTGGACGAGATCAAGAGTGCCGAGGAGCTGGTCAAGAAGAAGAACATGGGCATGGCCAACAACAACAACAATAACAATATCAGCACCACCACTACGAACACCATCAGCAACAGCGGCGTAAGTAGTCCAGTGTCCAGATGGACACCCTAACCGAATCATCCACGCTATCACGACAAAAATCAAACCAAAACATTTACACCCGAGGAAGCTCTTTTCATAGAATCATGGTAGATCATGCCAGTAATCTTTGATGGGATTACGGCATCCACACACGATGTCCACATGCAGTTCACACCCACTCAAACGTTGAGCGAAACACACCAAATCAAAAACCGAAAAAATAAATGCTTATGGTTATGGTGTCCCCATTATTTGGATATCCCTTTCTGTTTATATATGTTCGATTATGTTCACTCACACAAACTCTTTCATAAAAAGAAATTATATTAATATCACTTCATTGTTATTTGTGTGAGTGAATGAAAATGTACTAAAATAGTGATTGTAGTTTAGAAAAAATCGTGTAGTAAGCAGAATGCAACAGGTTACAAGTGTGCCCTGAAAAGTGTGCTATAATTATAAACTCATTGTTAAAGAAAAAATATGGTGTAAGAAAATTGTAATTTTGTAAGAAACTAATGAACAATTGAGAGTGGCCTTAAATAAAATATAATGGTGTTATTAAATCAAGTGCTTTAACGGGTTATTAACACCTTTAGTGATCTTGATTGATATAAACCTCTAGCCACCTTAATGGTTATAACTTGAATCTGCTGCATTCTGTTCGTCTCATCCACCAATCAAAAACAGCCCTAAGCTGTCATCATTTCAATCAGAGTCCCATCGATCAATCAGTGCTCATTTAGCGTACGTTGCCATCCGTTTGATTATTTGTTCGTGATCGATCGCAGTATCACACTTAACCAATCAAGTTGAGTTCAGTTCCTGTGTTCTGCGCCTCTGCCCAGCTCCGCTCCGCCCTGCCATGCCCTTTGACCCGCCCCCGCCTCATCGACTTTGAGTACTCGTCATAGCGTAGCTTTATATTTATGATTTCCAATCATCGGCATATCAGTATCAAGCAGCTGCAGATCAGTGAACCATAGCGTAATCACCATTCCAACATGTATTTATGTTACAGTTTTTAAGTTTTCTCTGTGTTCAGTTTCCTTACTACTTACTAGGCTCTATATTTGTATAGCTATAAATTGTATGTCTTTGGAATATGTTGATGATTATCATTTTGCATGTTCCATTTGCATGCGCAATCAAATCGGGTCACCCTAAGTATCATTATAGTATGCAATTGATATATATATTGTATAGATCTAGTGAGACCTTTTTGATTTTTGTTTGAATCACACTCGCGTCCATCGCCTCAGGACAACTGTTTTTTTATTTGTTCCGAACTAATATTATTAACAGAACGAAACAAGCTCAGCATCATCGACATCGACATCAGCTCCAACATCATCGATCCTCGACAGCAATGAGCAGCGGGACGAGTCGCAACCGCCACCACCGCCCACCACACCACCGCCAGCCATAATACCCACCACAACGACGGCCACCGATGAGACGGAGATCGAGGAGGTGGTAACCAATCCTCCTTCAGCTGTCCAAAGTCTGAACGATACCACTGCTAGTTTTACCCTATCCGCTCCGGTGCGAAGATCGCTTTCGGGCGATGCCGATGCCAATAGTGATCCCGAGGGGGATCAGGATCAGTCGGTGGTCAGTGCCAGCTATACGATAATGCCCAGGCGGGAAAGGCTTCCCGAAAGCACAGAGAATGCAGAGAGTATCAGATCTCCGCAAAAGACTGACCCAGTTGCCAAAAGTTCCAGCGAGGAGAAGGCCGAGGAGCCACCACTTGTTAGACCCACGGATCTGCCACTGATCCCAGCTCCTGCAGTGGCCAGCACAGAAGCTATCAAATCATCCTCGGCAGCCACCACGCCCGCTGCCCTCGAGAGTCCAGTGCGTTTGCGGGACAAGCGGGGTTTGGCCGGCAGTCAGGACTCGGAAACAAAGTCCGATACCGCTTCGCCCGTGACCTCTCATCCGGATTTCAATGCCCGGGACTCACTACTTAGTCTGTACGCCCGACGCACAACGGAAAGCGGCGCGGGAGGAGGTGCTGGTGGTGGTGCAGGTGGAGCGAGTGGAGCTGCCTCTTCGTCTTCCACATCTGCAGCAGAACGGCGTCCGTCTTGGCGCCTGAAATTCGATGCCGGCTCCAAGGTATGCCCACACTACCCAACTCTGCCCTCTAAGCGAAACCGATAGCTTAATCCAAAATATAAGAATATTTTTCGGTCGGTTGCCAAATTCGTGTGCGCCAAAAGTTATTTTTGTTAATCTCTAAGTGTAGCATGGATTTATTTTGATTAGTTTGTGTATAATTAATGGAGAACTACGGCTAAGCAAAGTGGAAATTGCCCTTGCTTTGATCGCCTTCATAAATAACCTCATCGTTTTTATAAAGCTTTTTGAACTCTACTTTAAGGTCATTATATTATTTCAACATCTTTTGATTTTGCTGCCAACTTAACCCTTACACCTAATAATCAACATTTAAAAAATATTATATGATTGGAATAAATCATATTGCTTTGCAAGAGTAAATTAAATATGTACTTCCTATTGTTTTTTACCACCTGAAATATTTATTTTAAGACTCATTTCGTTAAGTTGTATTTACGCATCTGTGTTTTCCATGCATTAAATTGATCTTAATTTACGCTTGATGTACTGAAAAACTAAGTAACTGCATCATTAAGTATTGTAATCCATTTATTATTTAAGAGAATCATTTAATTTGAATGGCTTACGTATATTTTTATTCACATATAAGTTCTCTTTCATTCGGCTGATGACCATTGATGTGTATATATTTACATCATGAAGTTGTGTTACTAATTTTGCCGTTTAAGCTTGCATTTATGTTTCTTTAACTTTTAAAATTAATCTTTGTTTGTTTTTAACAAGAACCGAAATCAAGTCTTATAACGAACTATTTGCATGTTACTATATTATATCAACATCTTCATTTTTATTCGACTTAATAATTACTATACTCAAATGGTTCAAGGAAAATCAGAAAATGCTTAGCTTAGGTAATGGGTTGCGGGCTCTAACTGATGGATCCTAAGTGCAAATGGTGTCTGATACTTGTTAATTACTACTAAATGTTTAGTATAAACTAACTCCCGCTGCATTCGAATGATTCAAGACATAGCTTCTTGTAAGAACAAACACATTGCACACAACCCAAACAAAAACGACAGTAAAAGAGAAACATTTCAAAACATAAATTGATATTTAACAACGTGTCTTTGTAATCTACTTGAGCCCATAGTAAAGAATTTTATTTTCATGCAGTTTAAACTGGAGGACATAACCAGCGGGGGCACATATCCGCCGAACAACAGCACTATTATCCCGAGTGCTCCGGCGGTGATGGCAGCCGTCAATTTATCAACTACAACTGGAGTCCAGCGGCGCATCAGCAGCGGTCCCAACGCACGTAAGTTTGGAATGACATTCTGCTTATTTTATTGTTGGCACATATTTAATTTCTTGTTTCTGTTTCAGTAAATGCTTCCAATCAGTCGCTCAACTCTGTGGGTCGTCCTGTTTCCGCGCCCAGCGAGGGCACCAACAACAGTGCCTATGTCACGCCCTCAGCTCGAAAATACGAGGCGAATGCCACGTCAACGGCGGCGAACTCAACAGCGGCCGCGACCACTAACTCAACCTCCAATTCAGTGTCTGCAACCAGTGCCAATCATGCAGCGGCTACGGCAACTAGCGCTACGTCAAACCATGACGATAAGGGTAAGGACAAGTCGTACAAACATCAAATTGGTTGTTATACCCGTTACTCCTAGAGTAAATGGGTATATTAGATTAGTCAGAAAGTATGTAACAGGTAGTAGAAAGCGTTGCTGAACCTATTAGGTATATATAATTTTGATCAGGATCACTAATCGAGCCGATCTAGCCATGTCCGTGTGTAAGAACGCAAAGCTACAAAATAGCATGCAGATTCTAGAGATTCTTGCGCAGCGCAAGTTTGATTCGGAAAAGGGCCACGCCCACAAACGACTTTAACGCTTAAAGCTGGCTGTTGTCCACTTTTAAAGATTTTGTGACAGTGTAATTGGGATTTTGATTTGTTTATCAATACCCATTTACAATTTGACCAAATTGGTCCATTCTTTGGGAAGTTATGACCAAACATCCTCTAAGAAGATAAACGGGTATTTAATAGTCGAGGTACTAAAGGGTTCTTTATTGTTTTTACACAAAAACCTTAAAACGTTTTTATATAATTTAGTTGTACACAAATATTTCTAAATAATATGGTTATATGTAGATTAATAATGTACTCAGTCATTTTAAGTTGTATACCACGCCTAGGCTTAGTTAGTTATTTCAATGGATTAAACTATGAATTTTCCATTTGATATATGCTATATCTATATATTGTGCAATTGTTGCAATTTTTCGAATGTGTGTGACATTTAAAAAAAGCACACAACAAAGTGATCCAGTGATATAAAAACTATCCTTTTCTAATTTGTCTGAGCCTATCAAAACTTTCTGGATTTTAAATATTTGGAACCTGAGCACTTAGTTAAAATAAGGACAAATCCATGTGTCCTATTGGATATACTTCAATATTATAATAAGCTTTACCCTAACTAACTTAAATTCGTATTATTCTAATAATAATAGATAACGACAAGGAGAACGATAATCGCACACAGACCGTCATTCAGAGGCGACGCAAGCCGAAGCGCAGATCAACAGGCGTGGTGCACATCGATATGGATGTAAGTATAGCTGGGCGATACATCATTTGTGTGCCTAATTGCCAGGCAGTTTGTCAGAATAAATGAGCCATGGGCCATGCAAGAGCCGTATGTCAACTATTCATAGCCAAATTGCTAATTAGTCGGGAGATTAGGAAAATGCTAAATTGAGAATTTCTTTTGTTCTGCTATAGGAACTGGATCCCGAGCGACAGAACGAATCGTCCAACAACGACAACGAGGAGAAAGAAAAGGAGGTAAGTCCACCAATAATTAGTGCTTACCATATGTTAACTACCAACAACAACAACAGCTAAAATATTATTATTATTGAATTTTTCACACCTTGCCAAGTAATTAGAATTTTTGTGTCAGCCTCTTATTTCCGTGCTGCACCTGGCAAATTTTTTCTTTCTTCTTGCCTGTGCCTTCGTCACACCTTGTCACAATTTTAGAGATCTCCGCGTCCTTCAAAGTAGCTGAGTGCCCCTCCATCTATCTGCCCCCACAACTTTTCCCCATCGTACGTCTGGTCCAATTAGCGGGCGACCCAAAAACGAAATTATGATTTGCCACTTGGAAAGTGCGCACGTGGCATTGTGGGTTCGGAATTTTCGTGTGGGAATCTAAGTGTAAGTGCAAGGCAACTGCAAATCCTTTCATGGCCGAGGTCAGAACTATTAGTGCGCATCCAATTTGCGTCCAAAGAAATCACGAGTCTGCCCCGAACCTGTTAACAATTTATCTGAGCAAGTGTCAGCGCCGGTGTCGCCTATTATTAAGAACTGACACAATTTCTGAGTGCATCTTGTCATTAATGTGCGCTCTGCTTGTTTCTACCAAAAAATATTAATTGTTTTGCTCATTGGACAATTAAAGAAGCACCATAAATCGGATAATCGCTTTAGCATTGATTAATGCAAAACAGTTCTTTCTAGTTTTGTTGAACTAGTTTATATGCGGTGGTTCCCCCCAGTGTTTTATCAAGATCTTGGGCTATAACTAGTGTACGAATATTAAAAAATCGAAGAAATTAAATAGATTTGTTTAGATAGGAGAACTTAAAATGAAGAAGTATTATTTTGAATTCGGCTTATAACAGAAAGCGAAGTTTATTTGAACATAGCATTCCAAATTTATACTTCCTCTCAGGAATAATAGTTATTTTTTGATTTTGACTAAATAAAATAATCAAATAATTATTGTAAAAATCACAAATTTAAAAATCGTTATGAAAATGGATAGACTATCTAACCAGAATTTTCTTTGTATTTTCCTTTTCTGCGTATGTCGATCCTAAGGGGCTGATTTTTTGTTTTTAAAAACGGATTAATAATCATTATTTAAAGTCCCTGAAAAATATTCTAAGTAAACCATAGGATATATTTAAAATTTGAGAACTATTTACATTCTCATCTTTAAGCATTAACGCTTTGTTTAAAATATTTAACAAGCAATTCTTACATCCTCAAGGTAATTTATTGCTCATTATAGGCAAACGTAAAAGTGAATTTAGTTGCTAATTTACTTGTCTGAAATCGTGCTGAAATATACATTTCCATGAAGTGAATGATGTAATACGATGTCTATATTTGTTTTATAGTATATTATTTTTATACCTTAGAATGCCTTTAAAAATTAAATGGAAATAAGTGAAAAATCCGTTTCAAGAGCTATAATTTCTTAAAATTTCTTGATTTAACTACTGAAGCAATACATATTATGCATTTTAAGGCCTGTGGTTCCCCAGACAATCCAACCAAAGTGGTGGCAGACCATCTGACGCTCTCTGATTGACGATGTCAAGTGTGCCACTGTGCATTTATTCTATTTTTTGCAGTAGTCATTTTGCAAATGCATCTGGGAAAATCACTTTCACAATCGTCTTTGTAGACAGTTGGCATTTTATAATAAATTGGGCAATTACAGAGGCACGACCCAAACCGAAGGAAATATATAAAGAAAAGCTGGCACACGTACATTGAACTTTGCAGAAAAAGCGAGAATATGTGTGGCTAAATTTATAACAGTTTGCAGGCATTTGCTTCCTCATTCTGATTCTCCCTGCGGCAGAAGGATCGTCATTCGGTATTTATAGCCGGAAAATGCATCCGACGAAAGTGCAAACTCTGTGCGGAGGGGGCTGTTTTTGGCCCAGTTATGAAGGGGGGAGCAACTCCCCAAATTGGACTCTCCTGTCGCTCACTTTCCGCTAAATTTAAACCAAAACAGAAATAGTTTTTCCTATGCTCGCGTTAGTTTTTCTTTTTTTTTTTCTTCTGTGATTCGGTGCAGTCTTGTGTCAATGACTGTGCTTCGCCTTTTGGCCCAGTTTGCAGTGCTCTCTTTTCTAGTGCTCCCCTGATTTTCTGACCCCAGCATAGTTAACAATCTTGCGTCTCGGACATTGGGCCAAATACGTGTGCGATTTACTAAATTTAGACATTGGCCCACCAGGTGAAAAACTCAACTCGCACGGCGAATATTTTGTGTGCGCAATTTCAAGTGAAAATTTGGCTCCTTTCCCTGCTCTTATTATTTCTTGTTTTCATATTTGAGTTTAAAATATGTACCCCCATGATTTGTTTTATTTTTCCGGCTTTTCTTCTCTTCGGGGAGCTCTTAGTTCCATTTGGGCACTCTTTCGCTGCTCTTTCGTGTTTATTTCCGATCGTTCGCTTTCAAATAAAACATTTCAAATCGTCTGCGAGCAACACAGTTGAGTTTTGTGCGCCCAGCACAGCGGATCATCTCGGTTCAATTCAGTTCAGATCATCTAAACCAAGCTAATCCAATCAAACAAGTCTAAATCCCAATGTAAATCCCAATTAAACTCAAGAATTCAATACGTCAAGTGCAACCAGAGACCAAAAACCACAAGACCTGTCGAACGTGTCAAAGAATTGTTCGAGGGGGGGAAAATGAATTGCAATACGCCTAGATCAGTTTACCCCCGGGATCATCGGGGCCAGAGGGGATTTTCCAAACCGAAGTTGATGATTTGACTGCCAGCCACAACGAGTTCGCTCGTTTTCATTCGATCAAATCGCTCCGCGCTGCCTTTTTTGGCCAACTGCGCATCATTTTTGGACATTTCAAGTTGATGCTCTCTCAGGTGGCTTGCAAATATGGTCAAATATTTTGATAAGTTTTTAATTTGATTTCGTGAACGTGCCTACATTATTTTTATTTTTTTCGTGCCTCCAAATGTCAAAGCTGGAGAATTCAAAAAATATTTACTGAAAGTTAATGGAACAAATTTTAAGATACATTATAACAAATAGTAATGCATAATAAAAAAATATGTACCATTCCAGTTTATATAAGAAACCCCATCACAATTTTTTTGTAAAGATTTTTCTTTCCAATTGCCAAATAATATATTTCAAATTTGTATCCGTTTTTCTAATTTACGTCTATTTCCTAATCCATTTTATAATGCCTTCGCGACCCGGTCAGTTCATTTATCTTCGGCATGACACAACAGAATATTGTATTTTTAAAATGTTTCGTTTCTAAACTTTTTTATGCGTTATTTGCCAGCTAAATGTTTGAATTACCACAAAACAGAAGGCATAAATGAGAAAAATTGTTGCAAAAGACCAAACATTTAAAACGCTTCATTCATAGGCGATTGTCCTATAGATAGAGCCATTTATGTGGTATATACCTAGAAATAAATCTACTAGGAAACAGAAACGGTTCGTCGTAAATTATATGCATGGGAAAATTGCTTGAGAAGAAAAACGTTTTCTGACGGTCGGTTTCATGTTTGTTGTTTGTATCGCGTGGGCGGAGGATAAGAGGCATCAACTTGGAGAAACAAATAAATAGCAGGCCGGCTGCGGGATAGTCCGTCCCATATATCACGTTTTCTATGTGTTTTCAATCCTATCGAGAGCATCCCGTCGAGATCCACAAGATCCACTGACTGCCGGTGGGGGTACGCGTCGAAAACCGAAAAGAAAATTGTCAAAATGGATGCCTTGACGTCATTTTTGGTTTTCCCGGTGCACGGCCAAAACCAATTCCCGAACCACATGTCAATATTGCGTTCTCCATATCGAAAGATCGCTCTAGTATACCTCCGATATATATGTATATACACATGTAAACACACACAAAAGTTGTTTGTTTTCCTTTATTTTTGTTTATGCCGAATTCAAGAACATTTTGTGTGTTCGCTTTGATTATAATTGTAATTGCCTTTTGTGTGCACGTCTAAAAATGGAACGATCGATCAGGATCGAAGTTAAAATGCCCTTCAATTGCGGATAATCCCCTGGGGTCTTGTTCAGTTGAAATGCGTTCTTTATATAGCATGTGGAAACTGAAATCTAATTAAAGTTCAAAGAGTCTTTCCAATGGCAGCTGTCAGTTTGAGTAAAAGGCTTTTCCTTTTAATTGTATCATGCAATTTGGTTCGGAAATCGGAGAAAAGTGTATTATAAATTTGAAAATAATTTTACAAAGAATTTATTTTCCCTTTCAAACTATCACTGCAAATCTCTGGCCAGATGTTAAATCCCCTCAGAAAGAGCATTCAAGTCATGTGCTTTTTGGTTGGTTGGCCTATTTAAGCGTAATTGCACATTGGTATTGACGATTGATATACGAAGTGCCTGGCGAGATGGCATGTGCTAATGGGGGCCCAATCTCTTATAGCCACAATCAGCGAGATGTCCTTTCGCTCGAGATCACGAACCCAGGCGCCGCTTTCCAGCCGCCGGCGATCGCTGTCCTCCAGTTCTCGGATGGCTCCCTCGGCCGGGGGATCCGGGGCATATAGCTACAATGGGAGTAGCTATAACAGCTCCGGCAGCACTGGTCGACCCCTGAGCACTGGCTACTTTTCCAGCAGCAGCGGCACCTCCAGCTACCAGAGTCCCTATGCCAGTGTCTACAGCTCCAGGGAGAGTTTGTACGGCGGCGGAGGAGCTTCGGGTGGTGGCCGGACCTCTTATGGTAATGCCAGCAGTCGCTACGACTACGGGGCGTCCAAGTATCACCACCACCATCATCATCATCATCAGCAGTTCACCAGCACCAACCACTATTCGAATCAGCATTCCCATCAGCCAACCGCAAGCGGTGGCCCATCGACGAATGTAACCTCATCCGCCTCCTCCACATGCCATGCCGCATCCATAGCTTCTGCGTCCAATGCCACGCCAGCAACTAAAACGCAATCGCACCATGGCAACCGCTACTATCTGCAGCTGCAGCCCACCACCGCTGCCGCTTCATCCGCTTCGGGTTCGGGTTCCGGTGCGGTGGCCACCGGTGGAGGTCACCACTATAGCCACCTGGTGGTGGGCAAGCATTTGAACCAAAGCCACAGTTATGGCCAGTCTAAAGCCTCTGCTCTCTCCTCCTCTCTGTCCACCGTCTCCTCGTCGTCGTCCTCCTCGGCCTCCGCCTCCAATGGAACAGGTAGTGCTGGTGGCTACGACAGTTCGAGATACAATCCCAGCTCCTACTCCTCGGCGGGATCTTCGTACTCCGCCAGCGATCGTTATGTCAGTCCCTATTCGAGCAGCTACGACAAGGGTGTGACCACAGCCTCGCTCAGCTTCAAGTCTCCTGGTTTGAGTTCGTCCAACTCGTTTAAGGGTTCTCGACTGCTGAAGACCAAATCCCTGTCGGCATCCAATAGTAGCCTGAATGCTGCAGCCTACGGAGGTGCATCATCGAACTCCACCAATGGAGTAACCAGTGCCGGAGCCACAGTGGCTGCCATTGCGGCCACCAGGAGCAACTCTCTGCGGGAACAGGAGCGCAAGTCCCGAAATCGTACGCGGTCAAAGAGCGCGGCACAGCGATCCATTAGTGCCTCCTCGGAAAAGAGTGAGGGATATGAAGTAAGCAGGTGTTTTGGTTAAGTGGTCTTATATTAAAACGTTATGCTGTTGTTGTTGGTATAAAAATAAGCACCTATATATTTTTAGGGCTATATATCTAACATATTAACTGAACTTATTTACTGTTTAAACATTGTAAATTCTAAAAAATTGTTAGAAAATTGCTAAAATATCTTTTAAGGATAAGAAAACTATACAATACTCAGGATAATACCAAAAAAAAATGTAAAATCATATACCTAGTATAATGATTAAGAAATCAATACCTAATGTTAAATTATTTTCCATGTAACCTCTTTTTTGATTATCTTTAAAGCCACTGGAATATTTTTTTTTGCAGTAAACTGTTTAGTACAGTTTTCAAATATCTTATTGATCGGATTGGATCCTTGGGATCCTTTTCAAAAAGTCTTAAGATACTTGCTAGTAATAGTATGAAAGCATACATTGATTGATAAATGTAAATGTTAAATATTATTCGAAATATTTATTTTAAGCTTAGATTTTATTACTAATTACTCAAATGGGTTGATATGATTTCCTTCTTATAGAGTGGCAGTGAGCGGACTTCCCGTTCCCGACTGGGCAGCACCGCGAGTACGGCCACCACGAGCGAGTCGAAGAGCTCCAGCAGTAACGACAAGGCGGAGAATGGTGATGGCATTGACTACAAGGCGCTCTACGAAGCTGCCAAGTGAGTATTCCCCCCTTTTAGGGACTCCAAGCTATAACCAAATAACAACCCGTAATCCCATTTAGATTGGAGAACGATAAGCTGAAGCAGATAATCAAGCAGAAGGACGACGAAGCCGTGCAGACACGTGCAACGCTCGAGAGATTCGCCAATGCCGTAAGTACAGAACCACGCCCCTAACATGCCACGCCCACATCAGCCCACTATAAACTATAAACCAAAAGCCGAAAAACAAATATAAACAAGAAGCAAACTGCCAGCAGTAACCAACAACAAAACAACACGCAACACCATAAACTTAGTTCAAGGATGCCACTAAAATGTATATCTTTATCACACATAATCCCACCTCGCTGCCTCTTTTTCCCCCTCATGTGAAGCTTACTGCTCGCGCTCTCTTTCGCTCTTTTTTACACCCCGCTCTCGTATATATCTTTTTTCGATCTGTTGAACAACAAAATAAACCCCAAAAACAACACCACCAAACAGAACAAGAAAGAGTCCCAAATCAAAATCAAAAACGCCAAACAAAAAACCACATCTTGTTTCATTTCACATTCGCAGACAACGAAAAATTCACTATCTGAACTTGAGAAACGCGAAAGAAGAGCTATGGAACGCAAGCTTTCCGAGTTGGAAGAAGAGCTCAAGGTAATTACAAATGTGTCCCTTTGCTAACCATAAGCGTTAAACGTTGCCGCCGCTGTTGCTGTTTTTGTGTTCTGAGAACAGGACTCGAAATTGATTGCTATTTTTGGTTTACCCCCTTATGATTTCTCCAAATGTTCTTGACACTTTGATTCTTTGCCCTCGCCCTGAAATTCTCTGTTGCATGTATGAAATTTTGATTTATTAACCCCCCTTTGATTAATTCGAATTGAGCTGTTCTGTTCTTATAACCAAAAATCATAAAACCAACCCCCCTCGCACTGAGTTCGAGCAAACGTTTTCTCTCACCCTATTATATTTTAATCAAACTCTTATTATTGCCTTTCCCTTTTGGCCAGATGCGCTTTATACACCATATAGAACACCTAGCTGACTAGCTGTCTTCTGTGTGTGAATGCCATGGCACTTGATTTGATTTGAAATTGATTTACCCAGACCTCCTGTGTATAGTATCTTTTTTGTGCCACCCCGCTGTACAGTGAAGCGATTGCTTTGATTTCCGTTGCATATTTACTTTTGCCCCACCTCCGCCTCGTGATCAGATCATCATATATTTGTTTTCTATCGTTTTTCTCATATCACACAACAGCAACAACCAGACATCAGACATGCTCTCATCTTAAGACCATTATGTTTCTCTGTCATCTGTCATCTTCTCAAATCATCACTCGCTCAATATCTCGCTCTGTCATTCGCCACCTCTTATGATTTTTGGTCACTGTTCCCAAGAGTTTATACGTTACACGTTTATCGTTATACGTCTACCAATCGCACTCACCTAATTGTTAAAAATTAAAAAACAAAAGCGCTCTCATTCAATACGCTCACTCAAATTTGATTTTCTTTTCTCTCTCTCTTCCCACGCGCCTCATCGATCGAACAAACAATCGAACTGTCGAAATAATCGATAATCGGCAATCGCTCAAATAAAAACATGCGTTTTTTCCACTTATTTTTCTTGCGTCGCCGCTATGTCCTTATTTTTTGTGTGATTTTAGCTATTGCAGAAGCTAAAGACTGAGAACGATCGTCTGCGAGCCGAGAATCGGGCCCTCACGCGGGTCGTCTCCAAGCTGACCACCTCGGCTCAGAGTCAGCTGGCCAAGACCAAATAGACGCAGATCAAAAGCATTTAGATTGCCCAGCACCAGCCCACATACACCCGAAATTCTCACGCCCCTTGCTCACAAGCACTATGTCGCGATTATCGTTATATCGTTTCTATTAGAACTGGAAAAAGATCGATGTTCTTATAGGTAAACATCGATAATCAATAACACCGATGTTTTTCTTGCTCTAGTTTCTTTAATTCAATTTTTAACACACCTCGATGTCGTTATGAATTATATATGGATATTTAAGCATAACCGAATACACAATAACTAAATGTATTGTACCTAAATTAAGTTATCATTGAGCTCATTGGCTTCGGACTGGTCACTGGTAAAACGTAAACCTTAAACATAACTATATACTACATCTCCTTGGGAGTTACTATATACTACAAAACCCTTTGATAAAACCGCAAACTTCAAAAGTAGTTAATTTTTAAATAGTAAAATATTAATCTCACGTTTTTGATAACCTAAATATGCGCTAGGAAAAAAAATGTTTGCGAATTTATAATGTAATTATAACCCACAGACCACTGTACGGTTGATAAGTACTTTAAAATCAAAAGCTAGCCTACGCTCGAATCAAAGTAAAGCTCATCGAAACCAACGAGATCAATCATCAAGCCCCCACCACCAAAAAAAAAAACAGCATCAGCAAATAGCGGCCCAAGGATCTGGAGGCTACTTGTAGGGTCTCCAGAAGTCGAACATCAGGGAGAGCAAAGTGGTCTAGTTGGTGATGCTGGAAGCTTAACGGTAAATGCCCCACCACTGACACAGAATTGAGCCATTCTAAGAACCTGCGCCCCAATATTATGAGCTGGCTGTTGTTTTGTTGTTATACACATACCACATAAAAAGAATATAATAAAATATATTTTAGCTATAACTGTAACATGGAGTGTTTCAAATTGTTGTTTAATTTTTTTAAAGCCTTGAAATAAACTGAATAAAAAATCACAATGAAATACTATCACTTAAAACCATTTTTTACTCCTTAATTAATTATTTCTTACACTTTAATAAGCTGAAAAATAATACAAATGCTTAATGGAATTGTTGTAAACTATTTTTAAATAAACTTGAAGGGATCCCTGTTTCTTTATCCCTATTATATCATTTGACATAAAGAAACTTTTTGAAACACTCTTAATGTACATATAAACAATACTTACTTAATACTCTACTATATAAATAATGTCTATTAAACTATAGTATGGATTTATACCACTTGTTGTTAATATTGTTACCAGTTTTATCTGCAATTTTGTTTATCCTTTTGTGTGTTCTCGACTACAACACCATCGATCGATCTTGAGTTATATATATATGAAATAAACAAAACTTTTGCTCATTGTCGTTCTTATTCAACTTATTGCTGTTTATTGTTTGAATACGCCACATTGGGTGGGTGTATGTCTACGGAACACTCGCATCAGGCATCAAAATTCATGAGATCCATTCGACATTATATGATCGATCGTCTATAGCTCGCTTATCACAGCACACGACACGCGTCATAAAGAACACATGAATCAGATTTCGCAGAGACAATTATCTAAGAGCCTATGTTTCGAGTGTAATTTGTGGTTAAGTGCATGTTATCTGGTTTTATTCTCGAGATTAGGGTGTCCAGATGAGTTCCATTCTTAGGTAATTACTAATCGTTTGTTGTTGTTTCTGTTGTTGTTGCTGCTGTGGCTGCGGCTACCGCATCCCCAATAGATTAACGAAGCATGCCCCATGCACACCTAACCTCAAGACTTGTGCCCCCCTGCCATAATCGTATATTTATAAGGATAACTGTGTGTTTTGAACTAATTTAATCTCATCTCATCCGTTCAACAGCAACTCGATACCTACAAGTCGGATAATCATCGCCTGAAGGAGGAGAACGCCGCGTTGATTAGAGTAATTAGCAAATTAAGTAAATGAAATTATGTTTTACTTTCAGTGTATGTATGTCTGAGAACCTATATCATCGAGAAGCAACAATTTTACTTTATTTACCAGCTGCAAAAAGGCTGAAAAAAGAAGAGAATGTTAAAGCGAAAAGCGATGTAAGCGAAAGCGGGATATTCGCGTGGAAATTTCAAAATTTGTTTATTATTTGTGTTAGGCCCCTAAGAATTAGGTGAAACCATGTTTCAAATATCGTTGAGAATTGTTTCGTTCGTTTTTATATGAAAAAAAAAAATAATAAAATCTTATGTATTTGGTCAAATTTTATATACAAAATAGAGCAAATTATAAATAAACTTACACAAATCAAGCTTAACTATATTTACATAAACATACGCGATGTGTATAACGATCAGAAGATCGCAAGAAATGAAATGAGAAACAAAAACCTTTACATACAAACTGAGAACATATTCATCAAATGAGCCCTAGTTATATACAATAGTTATACACATTACATAATATATATTTAAATCAACCGAATCATAAGTTCAACATTTCAATGTGTAATATCATCGAGGATCCAGACCGCCAGTTGAGAGAGTCCGGAGATGTGTCGAAACCAGCCCACGCGTCAACTTACTAAGTGTAATCGTTATCATCCAATTGTAATTGTGTTTAGTGCTTCATATATATAGGCATCGGTGAAGCCATCAAAAGCTATAGTATGTGTACCATAAAACTGAGGAGACTTTGTTGCAGGGGCTCCATGGCGCTATCCTATAGATAGGATGGGTTTCACTACAGATGCACTATTATTTCTATTATTTGAGTACCTTAATTTAAGCAGGCACTTTTAGTTCTCTCCTTCACTTCGAAACGTATTATATACATTTACATCGTACTATATTTTACTTTCGCTTATAACGAAACAAATGATCATACGCATATTTCTGTTATTTATTAAATTCGCTTAAGAGATTTTGTGTTACTCTACTCGTAAATGAAAACGATAATCAAGCATAAACAAACATAAAAACGTGAATTGTGTAATATGTAAAATTGTGTGAGAAAATATTTAAGAAAATTTGATTCAAATACGAAACTTAATAAATGTGATCGCAAGCAAATGTATCTCTTTTTATTGGGCTTGTCAAGGGTAAGTGAGTCTTCTGGTGTTTTGCTGAACTTTTTATTTTTGCCTAGATAACAACAGCCAATTATTATATCCGTTACTCGTAGAGTAAAAGGGTATACTAGATTCGTCGGAAAGTATGTAACAGGCAGAAGGAAGCGTTTCCGACCCATAACGTATATATATTCTTGATCAGGATCACTAGCCGAGTCGATCTAGCCATGTCCGTCTGTCCGTCTGTCTGTCCGGATGAACGCTGAGATCTCGGAAACTATAGGAGCTAGGCTATTGAGATTTGGCGTGCAGATTCCTGAGCTTCTTACGCAGCGCAAGTTTGTTTCAGTAGAGTGCCACGCCCACTCTAACGCCCACAAACCGCCCAAAACTGTGGCTCCTACAGTTTTGATGCTAGAATAAAAATTTTAACTGAAATGTAATGTTCTCATCAATACCTATCGATTGACCCAAAAAAAGTTTGACACGCCCATAAACCGCCCACAAACTTCAAAAAATCGTAAATATGAACGTGGATATCTCGGAAACTATCAAAGATAGAGAATTCGGATTTCAGATTTAGATTTCGTAGCCTTATACGCAGCGCAAGTTTGTTACGCGAATATGCCACGCCCACTCTAACGCCCACAAACCGCGAAAACCTTCGACGCCCACAATTTTTATGCTAGATAAAAAATTTTAACTGAAATGTATTGGTCTCGTCAATACCTATCGATTGGTCCAAAAAAAAATTTGCCACGCCCACTCTAACGCCCATAACGCTTAGATCTGTATACCGCCGGTAGGTGGCGCATTTTAATCTCGCTTTGCTACTTGCATATCTCTATTTAGCTGAGTAACGGGTATCTGATAGTCGAGGTACTCGGCTATAGCGTTCTTCCTTGTTTTTATGCTGATATCTCTCATTCAAGGTTTCCTTTGGTTTATTTTTTTATTGACAGCTTTTATTTGATTTACCTAATGATAAGATCAACTTTAAAGTGAGAAATTCACTTGGAATGTGTCGATTATCTTTTATTTTAACTATTCTCCGATTGTCAAAAAATTATCAAATAATCTGCATGACTTCGAGTCGAAGTAGCCATGATCGTCCATCCGTTTCTACGCAAACTACTCTCTCAGTTTTAAAGGTAACGGAAGGAAACTTTCTCAAAAAAAATATAAGTCGGAACGATCATATTATGTTCTAATCTGGGTTAGCATTGTTTAAAAGATTTATAATGTTTTTTTTTTAATTTAAAAATTGGACGACCATATTATATAGCTATCATAGGAACTATCCGTATATTTATACACAATTTTTCCGAATGAACTGTTTTCCAATATAGAAATGATTGCAATTGCATGATACGGTTTAAACTGCATGGGTAAATCAACTTCGACCTGGCGAGGACAGCTTCATTTCTGTTTTTTTCATGTTTCGGGACTTTAATTAAAGAACAGGTTAATTTTTTGTATGATTTTTATCAAATTTCTTTTCAGAAAAACCCCACTTTGCGAAATCTTTAATGATTCTTTATTGATGTAAATTTACAAATAAAACCAAATCTGACAAACAGTATTATCAAAAGAGCCATATAGATGTTATTAAAGGTTGCATTTTTTCTTTTTGAGCTTTAGATTTTCCTATATATAAGACTGCAAGTGCAGTGCATTGTCATAGAACTATTTTACTTTTCTCTTGGAGAACCTTTTTAACATCCCTAAGAAAATGAAGGTTACTATACCGATTTTTGCCATAGTTCTTTGTGGCCTAACTGTTGTCGAGTCTCAAAATTGCCAGGAGTGCATTTCGGACAATGAAGTTTACTGCGTAAACCAAACTTCATATAGGAATTGTTTGAGTAAGTTCTGGAAAGATTTTCGAGCTTATCATTTGTGAAACCTTATATTCCACCCAGAAAGTAGTCCCTTTGGCAATGTGATAAACTGTCCCACAGGAACGGTTTGCACTAATTCCAATGACGTTTGTGTGCAAAGTTCCGAAGTTACAGGAACTATAATAGATGTGTGCGGAACCTCTGGAGGTATCGGATGTGCAACATGCACAGATACTAATTACGCTTGTGTCAGCAAAACTCAATTTGCGAGATGTTCTAAAGAAGCTCTAATAGATGCGAATGTCTATAGTTGCAATACTGATGAGATTTGTAGCTCGACAGCTCTTAAGAAGTACGGCAATATCTGTGTGCCCTCGTGCGCTCGTGATTTCGTAGGTTTTTAGGTAATTGCATTAAACTGAAAAAATACTAATCGTTAATATTTGACAGCTGGATTTAAACGCTACGTGCAGCAACAGTGAATACTCGACGACGACTACTGCAGCTCCGTCAACTGTTTCACCCAGTGCTGATGATAAAATTAGTGCCTGTACCCAGGCAGAAAAGGACCTTGGGGTACCATCAAACACCACCTACTTCCTCACAATATATAAAGCCGATATTACCTGTCATACTTATCTGTACTGCCAAAGAAATGTTGACGTCAAATGGGAAACCGTATATATGTCCTGTTCATCATCCCAGCCATATTACGATTCTAAAAAAAACGTATGTGTGGGAACGAAGCCAACAGGTTGCCCTTAATTCGACTAAATATGGCACTAACTGCAGAATTAACTATATATCAGGACCTTTTAATATACTTTAAAAGTTATCTTCTTGATATTAAAATGTATATTTGTCAAAAAAAAAATAAAATACACGTCACTATTTTTTAGTTGTTGCTGTACACTTTTTTAGTGCAAAATTAAGAATTTTTAGTGATAAAATTTAATATCTTAGGCTGTGGCGGAACCAGAATTTGGTTGTGGGGGGATAAAACAAAAAAAAGGTCGAGTAAAATACATGTTACACATACATACACATATCCCCCGTGGATCCGCGCATGATCTTATGTATTGTAAACAAAGTTTTATGTTTACAAAGGAAATTTCAATGACAATCGTAAATGTACCGTAGTTTCTCAGAAGTCCATAAAATTAACAAAAGCATGTTGTTGTCATTTGCTGATAGCCGGTACCGGCTTTTTAAGAATACTTCAATATTACTTTATGATGGAAGACTTTTGGCAGAGACAGACGGAACCAAATCTGACAAACAATATTATCAAGCAAGGGACCCATAAACAATTGAAGGTTGATGCAAAGCAAGATCCGCCGCTATATAAGAACGAAGATGGGTTGGGTCGGATCATATCATTTACTAGTACAGATTGAGTAACATTACCGCGAAAAGTTGCAAAGGAACATGCAAAGGATAATCGCAATTGTGGCCATTGTGGCAGCAGGACTATCTCTTGTGGCAGCACAGACTTGTCAGGAGTGCCAGACAGACAACGATGTGTACTGCCACAATCAGACCGCATATCAAAATTGCATGAGTAAGTTCAAGGATATTTGTAATTTTGAAGAAGATTGAAATAAAAAAACACATACGTCCTTAGATGGTGCAACAATCGGAGATATTGTGTTGTGTCCCACGGGCACAGTTTGCTCCAATTCCGACGACGTCTGTGTGGACAGCTCCGAGGTGAGCACAACCGTATTAGACGTTTGTGGAACCTCTGCCGGAAACGGTGCCCAGTGCGAAGTGTGTTCCAGCAAATACGCCTGTGTCAGCAGTACCCAGTATGTCCGATGCTCCTCCAGCGGATCTCTCATAACCTCCAATGTGTACAGCTGCGGTACCGATGAAAGTTGTATCATCGAGTCTCTTTCTGTTTTTGGTTCGCTCTGTGTGCCTTCTTGTGCCGCCGAATTCGTAGGTCTTGTCGAACTATGAAAATGGATCATTATTAATGTTTGTTTACTTTACAGGCTGGCTATAACGCATCATGTAGCAACAGCGTGTACCAGCCCGCAACTACGACAGCTGCTCCGACAACGACGCCGAGTGCTACCCAGAAAGAGGAGTACTGCACTGCTGGCCAGCCTAGTACCAGTAAAGGGTACTTCTTCACCAGAAACACCGACGATTCCACGTGCAAGACTTACTTGTACTGCCAGAAATCGGGAACCGACTGGATAGCCATTTACATGACTTGTGGTGCCTCAACACCCTACTTCGACTCGACCACTAGCATCTGTGTGGCGACCAAGCCTACCAGCTGCTCGGTAACAACCACCACGAGTTCCTCGACCACTACAACCCCGTCTTCCACTAGTAGTGATTCAACGGAGGCTTCTACGAATTCTTCAACGACTGATTCTTCAACGGTTTCTTCCTCGGATGCTTCTTCCACAACTTCTTCGACGACTGATTCTTCAACGGATTCTTCCACAACGGCTTCAACTTCCACTGAGGTTCCCTCTGATTCTTCTTCGACTGATTCTTCAGCAACGGCTTCAACTTCTTCATCAACTGAAGCATCTAATTCTTCTTCAACTGATTCTTCAACTGATTCTTCAACTGATTCTTCAACGGATTCTTCAACTGATTCTTCAACGATTTCTTCTTCCTCGGAGACTTCTTCAAGTGATGATTCTTCCACTGAAACTTCAACTGTTTCTTCGTAGTCAGACGACAGCTACTCTCCCACCAGTTATTCTTCCGCAAAATGATGGACACAGAAAATGCTTTCTCAAAGCTTTGAAAGTATTATAACGTACATTACGATTGTAGACAATCTTCAATAGGCATTTAATAAATCCAAAATAATAATTACATTACATTTATGAGTTAGTTATTTCTGATTAACCGTTACTGGGATCTAACGATTTAAAATATGACTAAAATCAGGGAGACTAAAATTAGGCAGTATTAATCATCGGCTAATGGAACTCTTTTATTGGGGTTGTTGTAAGTAGTTTGAAAAAGCCTCGAGATGTTTAGCAATTATTTGCCATGAAATACCATGGGATTATTAGCCGAAACCCCATAAACGGAGAAAATATGTATGAATGTTTTGTCTGAAACAGCTCGCGTCATGTGTGTATTATATGTACAAATCGGTTTACGCTAAAAGTAAAAGCATTTTCACAATTATCAAATATTCATGTTGAGGACAACTCGCGATACTGGGGACCTTGATATTGTGTGTGCATGCTGTGGCTTCTGTTTAGCTCAAATTAATGGGCTAAGTTCTGTACATTGATGGCCGTAAACACTTGGACATAAGCACACAGATGCGCACACAAGTCAGCGCGTCTAAATATACAAACGGATACAAACATATGCCCACTCGAATATGATATACCGAACCGACTCGCATGCCGCCGTCTGATTTATCTAGCGCACCCGGTTCGACGAGGAGAACAATATTCGAAATCCTATTACATTGCTACTACTAGTACTGCACACATTACGATCTACGAGAATTTACAATAAAAGTTTTTGCTTAATTATCTTAATATTTCGCCGAGAGAGAAATCAGCGTATACAATAATTCTGCCCCAGCTCCTCCGGCGCTTTCTTCTGCCATATGTCATTGGCAGCGATTGTCGCGGCAATTAAACATTAAATCAAATGAATTGCAGATGCAGAGCAGCAGGACCAGGACCAAGAGCAGCAGGGGGATGCGGATAGGCTGTGGCTGAGGCTAGTTGGCCAGCCCACATTTAAATGCGCAAATGGAAATTATGGCCATTGACGACGCACGATCGCCCCGGGACGCTGTACGTGGGCAGCGGCGAATGCACAAACTGCAAATATAAACACACACCGAGTTAGATACAGATTCGCAAAATGATGGATGGGTGTACGAACCTTTGGCACCCTCTGGTTGGTTGCCATGTAGCCGACACAGAACGACTGCGTCGTGTGGCTCCACATCACCTCGCCGCTGCTCTGGCCCGGATAGTAGAGCAGGGTCAGGGCTCCGGCGTAGAGATCCTGCTGCCGGGGCAGCAGCGGTGAGTCCAGGAACTTTTGCTTGAACGTCTTGTGCAGACTGGTCACCGCGCAGTCGCTGCTGAAGGCCCCGTGGCAGATCTCCCTGGCCAGCAGTGTTTTCATCAGGTACTCACCGTTTCCGGTCGTGCAGGTGGCAATGGCCAGGTCGTCCGTATCGGTGGCCCAGCAGCCGGCTCCGTAGGTTGCCGCCTGGCCCACCCTTCCCGGAACCTTCAAGAGTATTCCGCCAGAGCTGCATCCTGCCGCCGTGTTCCCAGCCCCATCCACGCACACCGCACCAACGGTGTCCAGGGCAGCGGCCAGTTCCACCTCGTTTCCTGGCTCCGGCACTGGCACAGGCTCCTCAGAGGCCGCCTTGCCCAATCTGCTGCTGACCACCAGGTCGTATTTGCTCTTGTAGTGGTTGAACTGGAACTTGGCCTTCGATGAGATCAGCACGGCGGGATCTACCATGGAGCAGCCCACCTCGTCGGCATAGCGTTCGGCACCAGTGCCGGCGAGAATCATCGGTGGAATGCGCTCCAGCAGCTGCGGACTGGACTGGGCATCACAGATGCGTCTGGCCAACTGGATAGGGTTTTTCACCCTGCTGACGTTCGTGCATGCACCAAAGTTCAGCGTGGAGCCGTCCATGATGGCCGCATCGCACTGCACGGATCCGTCCATGCAGAGATTGGAGCCGTAGCCGGCGTTCGTGTAGCCGCAGTTCTCCAGCCGGATGATGGCGGCCTCGCAGGCGTCCACGGCGGATCCGCCGTTGCGCAGGATGTCCGTGGCGCGCAGGCACGCCTCCTTGATCACCCGCTGGTACTTGGTCTCGTCGATGCAGTTCCCAGCCCCTGAAAACGGATGACGGTCATCAATCATCTGGCTGCGGCTATGGCTGTCTGGCGACTGCCCGGCGGATCGGAACCGCCACGGCCAAATACGAACCTGTGTGCACCGCCACGAAGCCGGCCATGTTAGTATCGCTGTTTATGCTCGCGCCTTGTTGTTGGCCCAACTGCAATCCGTGCGCTGTACGGCGTAAACAAATTGGCCAGAGTGACCGTGCGGGCAGAGCTCGAATATACCACACGCCCGAAAGGCACTTGGGCAGCCAGTACACTCAGAAAAATATTCAATTGCAAGTGATTTATTTTTATAAATTTTCTTCTTTATTCAAATTTTCTTATATCTATACTTAATCCTAGTACTGATTATACTATCCTTAAAATGTTATAAATAAATTATATACAGCGAAACTTTCAGAACTTGTAAAGACTTCAAGTCAGAGAGTTCATTCAAATACTTTGGGAGTTTTTTCCTAAATTTAAAAATGTCATTTGTTTTCCAATTTCAGAGCATGTTTCTTAATAAACCTTTAAATTATATTTAAGACCTTCTAAAAAAGATAAAAAACCTGTTTGCAGAAGTCTTTGAAAGATATAAAAATTTAATTGAAATTGAGGTAAGCCTTTTAATAATTTTATAAGCGTAGGTACATGTCTAATTTAAATCGATTTCTTATTTATTTTTAACGAATATTGACTGAAATATTCCTGAATATTTTAATGATCGATTGTTATTGGTAAGTTAGCTTTATCAATCATGTTGTAAAAAATACTGTTCGCAGTTTTTCTTTACAATACTATTTTTCTCAAACCAATTTCAAATATAAGCAGACTAAAGGTAAAATCAGTAAGATGTCTTGAGCCTCCCGATCGAAGTTCTTCATTTTCAGTGAAAAAATAATTTAAACAGGCTGTAGGAGGTTTAACAAACGCAGTAAACTCGGGGAACCGAATTATTTCCGATGGAATTGATATTGAATCATTGGAAACACGACAAAACGTCATATGCTTCCCTGTTATAAACTCTTGCTCTACACGTTTTGTAAAGAGGGGCTCGTACCACGGCAATTGATTTAAGTGCGCTAAAAATGTGCGATCGTGAAACTCGGGAGGCTCGGATATAATTAGTTTGTTTAACAAAGATTCTTGGTAAATAACGTCTTCGTTGGACGATTTTCCGTACTTTGGTTTTGTTGTTGTATTCCTTGAATTTGTACTATAGTCAACGTAATCTCCACTGTAAAGGAACATGTTTTCAATGTCAGTCATATTTAAAGAATAGAATTGGTAAACACCGAACATCTCGAAGAACTCGCGAACCGGTGTCATACTGTAGCATCCAGACAACTCAATCCTTGGGTAATAAGTAATAAAGGTAAGACACATTTCTTCTTTCGTTGAATAGCCGCCGAATGTGGGTCGCTTTCTGAGTTTTGTGTCATAGGAACAGTCTGTAATAAGGTAATCTCCAGGTAATACAACCGTTTCATTAGCAAGCTGATGGACTTTTTGATGTCTGTAATCGTAGTTTTCGTCTACAATGATGGGATTTAACTCTTTACCAGAGCGAATATGTCGAAGACTTATTTGGCGACCAGCTTGATGTGAATGCAAAGTTCCAGAAATTACTTTGATACCGTCCTCGGGGAACATGACGCTTGAACAAGACGGTCCACAAATGCCGACGTTTCGATACTTCTTTTGACCAGGTGGGATGAGTTGAGTTTCCGAAATAGAAACGCCATTTATTAGGATTCCAGCATCGTAAGTTCGCAGATTCTGTGTGTAGTGTATTCGAAAACCCGAATGATCTACAAATAATTTTCCATGGGGATTATCATAGTGTATTTCTAGCATGTAATATTTAACTCCAGATGCCCCTCCCATTGGAATTCCTGCATGGGGAGGCAGAAACTGTCCATCGGATCCCAACGACCAGACTGCAACTGGTGTGGCACAGGAATCCCAGTCCCGCGGTGTCAGTAGGTTACTGTTGCACACCGTTCCGGAACTTCTTACCCAAATGTCCCACGAAGAAGGGTCGGATCCAGGATATGATTTTGACTGGCACTCAAACAGGGTCATGTGGTGCACTATATTTCTATCATGTTTTCCAGACAACAGAGGTTCATAACCAATAATGTGCTGTTTCTTAGTTAACTCTGGTAGCTGCACTATTTTACACCAGTACAGTGTATCCATTGATCGTTGAATGGTGACATTGTTCACGGTAATATCCCATTTTTGTATGTCCGACATATCAAATGTCTTTGAGTTTGAACTGCGACTATGTTTCGTAAACATCGGAGAAAATAATCGCAAAGATTTTACGCCTCTGCTCTGACCATGCCATTCTAGGCTCCTGTGGAGAGGATCAGAATCCCCCATAGACCAAAGTACTTTAAAAGTATCAGCCGAGAAGGGAATATCAAATGGGTCACAAGTTTCAATTTTTCGTTTGAACCTCACATTCGTATGTGTTGAATTTTGGTAACCATCAATGATATCATAGTTTTGCGTATCGTCTTGCACTGGAGGTCCGCTCGAAGGATCCTGCGCCCCGTGACAATCCAATGCGTTCGCTTGTTCTGTGGTATCATCAACCCAAATAAGCACCATATCTGCTCTTGCCACTCGGCCGTCCTTGGAGAATCCCAGTCCAGCAAATCCTCGAGTATGGACAGTTACCTCGAAGTAAATAGTATTCTCTGTTGCATTTATCCACCATTTGAGCCAGTACAGCCCATTGTTGTCCATCCTTTCATTGCGAATCCAGTTCTTGTGATGTACAGGACCATTAGTGTCGACATCGTAGTCTTCGTGCCTGAGATTATTTTCAAAATAACCATATCCCAAACTCAGCTGTGCTGTAAGTACAATCCATAATACGTTTTGAAACGACATTTTCTTTAGTTTTTGTAAACAGTACGAATTTCTTGTATACATGAATCGCGCGCGTCGGCTTTTTTTCTTTAAATAGTGTGATCGTTTTTGGATATCACTTTGACGTATAGTGTGACCACACCGATAACGATAAAAATACCATTCGCCGTAAAAATAAATACCATTTCAGTTTCAGGAAATACCATTTGTATACCAATAATTCAAAAAGAGAGTTTCGTGTTATTTTTAATAAATATTTGAATTTAATGAATTGTTAAAACTTCATAATTTCTTACTAAAATTATAAATGTATAAACAATTGAATATAAAAACGGTCTGTTTATTAAAGTATTAATACCATTAGAAAATATATTTCCCCAACTCGCGAAAAACTAAAAATTAAATAAAAAAAAAGCCGGCTTTAAAATAAGGCTCTCAAAATAAAAATAACGGTGATATTATTTAAGTACAAATTTAAACTGGCATAAAAATATAGCCTTACTAAATGTCCATTTACCCGCACTAGCATCTATAAAAAAAATTTCGCCAAAAGGTGACAATCTTCAAACTAAATAAAATAAATATGTAAATTAAGGACCCGAAAGTTTAAACAAATTATTTTTTCAACACATGTTTATTAACAAATCATAAAAAAGAGCCTATACAATCAGCACCGAATGTGGACTTTGGGGAATTTAGATGAACTGGTATGCGGAAACAGATAATCATGGAAAATAACAATATCGAAATGCAATTTTATCCGTTCGGCGCGCCTTGGGCGACAACTTTTAGTAGGCGAAACGGGTGTCCGGGTGGAAGCCGAGTTTGTCCAGCGCGGGGTTGCAGGCGAAGTTGATCATGGGCGGTGGGCCACAGAGCAGCACACTGGTATCGTCCTTGGCGGGAAGCAGGTGGGCGGCAATCATGTCCTCATTGATGAAGCCAACGCTGTACGGCCAACCTGGGTTAAAAAAATTACGAAAAAACCATATTAGTGGTGATTTTTAAAGAGTCTAGACGTTCTGAGCGAGACCTGCTGCACCCAATCTTTCCCACTAGCTTGGCATTGTGAAATCAAAGCAAAACACAGAGATAGCATCTAGTTTGTCAGCTAGAGCTGCTAGTCCTAATAGCTAAACCGCTGCTCGGCCCGGTGGCCAAGTCGCTCCAGGCCCGGAATACACGTGTAGTTAACCATCGGCGGAGGACCACACAGCAGGCACAAAGTGTCCTCATCGGGCGGATACAGATGCTGCTTCATCATGTCGTCGTTCACATGGCCAGTGTTGTAGGACCAGGCTACGAACCGCGCGTTTCCCGTTCGCGGCATCCGTTTGAGAGCAGCATGGGACGAGGGGCATTGACAAGAATCTTAACATAATAGATGCTTGGCATTGGTCACAATGATACTCCAAGTGCTGATGAGGATGCTGCATGTGGATGAGGCTAAGATGGTTGTGAGTTCGCGAGTCAAGGGAAAGATTGGTGCAGACTACTACAAAGTATATTATGGTGATTCTAATCTCATTGGAAAGTATAAGAGAAAAACCTTTTGCAGCGTTATTTACAGATATCCTGAGTATTGTTTTAAACATTTTAAAATTAACAAATATTTTATTATTAACTAAACTCAATCATTGACTAGATAATTTAACTGAACTTCTTTCAAAAATATAATGATCATAGAATTTCATATATTTTAAGACTAAATGGTTTCCATTCTAAATCAAAATCGAATTATTATTTTTATTGCGATATAACTATCAATTTTAAATATTGCCTGCTGGTATAAGCTATTTGATTTAAAGTTTCTTTAGGAAAGATCATGTTTCCCATTCCACATTATAGGTTCGCTTAAAAAAGCACTTTAACCAACTAAATAAATCATAAGCGAATGTTACGATCTGATGAGCACGATCATGTGATATATGCAGTTAGGACTGCGACTCACCTTCTCCGGCCTTATCGACGGTGTACCAGACCTTAAACTGGTCGGGATACTTCTGGGCCAGTTCGTCCAGCTCGGCGCGGAGCAGAATGTCCTTTTCACTCTTTAAAGGAAGTTACAAGACAACTTTAATAAACTTGGCCAGCAATATTTCATATAGATGACCCACCTGGTTGGCGAACAACAACGCCAGTTCAGTCTTGTCCTTGTCGCTGCGCTTGAGCACTTCTCTGGCCAGTTGGAGCATGGGGGTAATGCCAGTGCCGCCGGCGATCATGTTCACCCGCTTGGCGGTCACATGCTTGGGCGGATCCTTGCGCAGCTTCTTGATGGAGAAGGTGCCGTTGCCGAGATACTGCAGCCGTCCCGAGGGACCACGGAACGATATCTTGTCGCCCAACTCGAGCTGCTCTAGGTGCTGTGTCATCTTGCCGCCGGCAGGGAACTTGGGATGGGTGTCCTTGAAGTACACCTTGACCACGAGATCGACGTAGCCAACATCCTCGTCGGACGAGATGGGTGTGTATGGCCTGATGACAAGCTCATTATCGATGGTGGCGATCAAATGGATGTGCTGGCCAACAGGCAATCCAAGCACGTGCTGCTTGGAGGGCAATCCAAACCGGAATCGCCTGGTGTCGTGGCTGAGATTTTCCTTTTCTATCAGGGGCAGCAGATACTTGTCATTGGGGTCCACCAGAGTGCGCAGGCGGGCGGTGCGATTCGGTTCCCTTCGTGGCTTCGTGGACTTCTTATTCAGCAGATAGTGGAGGATCAATGCGCCGGCAACTACGGCAACCACGCCCACGGCGATCGGCACGAACTGAAAAAAATTCAAAGATATCCAGATAAGTAAAGGACTTTAGATGAGGTAAAAGGTAAATTCGGATGAAGTGCCTTTGCAATCTGTGATTCTGCTACTCAAATCAAGTCCGTGAGCCGACATTTCGGTAAGTATTATAAAGTAACCCAGGAAGTTAACCTTAGGATTGACCCTTAGACGTTTACGTTTATAACACGAATTGCGTTTTGATTGTAAATGCAGCTTATTAAATGTTTAATCTTTTAGATTCCATTCAAAATAATCACGTATATTATATGCTAGATTGCGTTTTTAAAAGTGCTTACGCAAGTGAAAAAGAAAATGCAGTGTATTTCTTTTTCCAATTCGTGGGAAATACATTTGTAAGGAAATAAATAAATTAGTAGTAAATGTTCACTTTAAAGTTTAAACGGATAACTATTTCCATTCATATTTCATATCTTAAAATGGGTTACGATTAAAACTTAAGATCTTGTTAATTTGTTGTGATAATTGTACTTGGTAAACGATTTTAAAACCACTATCTATAAATAACTATAATAGAATCAGAATAATAGACAAAATTAGTTTCTTTATAGCACTCTAACACTTAACTTGGTCGTAAAGTTAAAAAAGTTTTCATGTAGACCATTTTTAGCTTGATAATGGATGTATTAATACTTGATATTATTCTTAGTTTATTATGGGCTGACTTTTTAGGTTGAAGAGAGGTCATGAAGGCTAATGGAAACAGCCGCGAGTGATAAGAAAAAATAAAGCCACACATGTGTCAAATAGAGATTAGTTATATTCGAAACTTATATTCACATCTGCGAAGCCCCCTAAAAACCTGGGGCTAATTGGGGTTACCAGCTTGAGACACCAAACTTTGGCCCCATATCACAGTCGACCTTGAGTTATAAATATGTATTTTTTTGCTTTGGCAACAAACCCGTAGCTTATTATTCATGACGTTACAAGCACTGCTTAGATAAACAGAGAGGCCGGTGTTGCAAAAGAGAAATGGATTGGAATAGAGAGCAACAAGGGGTGAGAAAGAGGGCTTTCACTTAAACTTACATCGAATTCCGTCATTTTATTACAAAACACTTGTTGTAAAATGGCTAATTGGCGATTTGAATTGCACACCGAACTTGAAAGCGAGCAAGAAAACGTGCGACCGCGTGCCGCCGATTCCAATTTCCAATTGAAATGAAGTAGAGTCGTCGCGTGGAAGTCACTACTAACTACACTCTCTTTTTCCCTCTCTGCCGATTAATATGCACAGTCAGCACGAGTAAGCACAGTGACTCCCAAAAGTATAGGATAACTGGCAGTTAAAGAATGCATGACCTTTAGTCTGACTGCTAATAAAAAACTTCTTTAAATATTAAAAAAAATAAATTATTATCATTTTTCACTGTTTTTTATAACAATAACAAAAATGTATAGAGAAACCTAATAAAATATGTTCCTTTAAAACCAAAGTTGTTCAATACAGTGAATTGTTAAAAATAAAATCCATTTTAAGTCACGTTAAAATTTGAATTATAATTAAATGATTTTAATTCTATTACTCTGTGGAAATCGCACCGTTCAAATGTATTTAAATTTTTGATATTTATACATCTACTGTAAAAAATACTGTAACTTTTTGATGTTTTTGAAGTGAAGAAAAACTCAGTGAGCTTGAAAACAAATCTTGCTTAAAATGTCATGAAAACTGTTACTAGATAAAGTATAACTTGGTCATTTTAAAATCATTTAGGTATATTTTTCTTATATCCTGGCAATAATTAATCAATATTTTCTTGAAACCACTATCTTTTTAACTACAACTTTTCATAAACTAACAGCGAGTGCTATAATTTTAAGCACCGATGTTGGCCAGATAAGGCTGCGAAGTGGAAAGAGAGTGCAGATAAAACAAGCAAAGGCATTAAGAGACCGCCAGAGCCAACGCCAGTAAAGGGAAGTCTACCTCAATGTTATACTGAGTGTATATTTTATTGATTACGATTCTAAGAGTAAGGTGGAATGGAAGAGTTATGGTCTAAGAGTGCTGGGGTGGGTGTATGACTAGGTAAACAGCTGATTTTCCCGCTCTGTGAACTTGACATTGCATTTTATCTCGGGATGAGATTCACGGGGAAACTGAGATTGCATCATAAGAAAAACTGACGACACCGCTTTTTCGGTCTCTTTGGCTGCGGTTTGGTGTGTAGCGCCTGCGCCTCGAATACCTCGAAATCGTAATCCTCGCCAGAAATCACACGCAGAATGGCCGCCTTGTTGCCGCAGCGATAACAATAGTTGGGTGCCGACCAGATGGTCACAAGCTGATGGCCAAAATGCCACTGGAAGCCATCCTGGGCCAACTGATGAGCCCGGCATATGAGGGAGATTCCATTTGTGCGGCTAAACTCCTTCACCACATCGCCGCCAAAGAGTTTTCCATGTCCCCGCGGCGATGCAGTCCATCCAGGTGCCTCCTGGGGATCGCTCCAGAGGAGATCCGCTATGCAGCCGCTCTCGGGGATCTCATGCCGGCGGTCCAGCTTAAAGAACTCATCCAACTGCTTGATTTCCGGCGACAGTCCGCCATGAACGCAAAATATTTTCCCATCAATGATCGCCGCGAGGGGCAAGAGATCAAAGACCCGGCAGCACATCCGCCAGACATTCGCAGAGCCATACTGGGCCAGGCACTCCTCGTAGAATCCGTAGGATCTTGTGGCACTGCGGCACTCGTGGTTGCCCCTCAACAGGCTCACCTGGCCGGGATGTCGGACCTTGAGAGCAGCCAGCAGCAAAAAGGTCTCCACGCTGTTTTTGCCCCGATCCACCAGGTCACCCAGGAACAAGTAGCGATGTTGCTGGACTGATCCGCCCACATCCAGTAGATGCAGCAGATCCTGAAACTGCCCGTGGATGTCGCCGCACACGATCTGCGGACTCTGCAGGCTCAGCAGGTTGGGCTCGCCGGCGAGCAAGTCGCCCAGAGATCGGCACAACTGGCGCACCTCCAACTCCTTGGGCAGACGCACGGGCACCCGGCGCAGATTGGCCACCAGACGATCCGCATCACTCATCTCCTCAGGTCACCAGGCGAACATCATGTCTATTCTTAAACCGGCGACGTCACTGGCCAACAGTGATGGGAAAGAAACTATTCTGGTTATACTAGATGGGCCTATTTATATTACAGGTAAACAATATAAGGGGAGATTTTTGGTTTTTTGAATTAAAGAATTGAACACGGGGAAAAGATTTCTAAGTACTTAGAGTACCTAATAGGGTACAAATGGAAAAAAGGCATATTTATTGTACCTATGATTGGTCAAGACAATAAAATGAGAAAAAATAAAAAAATAGCAACTGTGGACTATTAATAAGGAATACTAATCATAAGTTACATTTACGTATTCCAAGTTAAATAATTTTTGTGGGAAATTATAACGTACCCAAAAAAGGTACAAACAGGAAAAGGCATATTTGTTGTATCAACGATTCAAGACTTACTGTCTGATAATAGTTAAACAACCATCTATCAAAAATAAAACAAGTAACGTTTTAGAAAAATAGACAACTAGTTTGCATATTTCAAGATCTCAAAGGGAGCACCTCAGATAAATTGTAATGTGCGTTGATAGTTCCCATCACTGTTGACCAACAATTTAAGCAAATGCAAAACCACTGGGGCATTTGGCCGAGCAAAGGAAAGCGAAATATCATCGCTGACAATTATGAAATGGCACAGGGAAAGAACAAGAAGAATGTGGAGAAAGATGGGGGCGGAGCGGCGGATGCAAATTGGGAGTTATGTAAAAAGAAACCCAGTGAACGGATTAGTTGCAATTAACTTACATTGCTCTCGACGACACGGGCCATGGCCAATGGAAAATCAATGCAGTTGCGACTCGAATCCCTTATATAATCCGCCAATTGCAACGACACCACGCACTTATTTAATATCTACCAGCGAAATGCCGACTAAACTAATATGCGGACTAAATCGCGATATGGTGAAAGCAATGTTTTCATTTCCACGCACTCTCAGTGGGCGAAAGAGAGCGAAAGGGATTCTCTTTGTCTCTCTTTCGGGTTCTCTCCTCTCTTCTTGGAACGGAATATCTGCAAGAAATTACTTAAATTAACTGGGTCACTAAACACACAAACGTAAGATATTTACACAGTTTTTAAGTAGCTGCAGCTACTTTATTTTTACAGGCACAACGGACCTTAAGTAGAGATCAAACTGCAAATATAATAACAATTTGCTCAGCTCCAAACAAAGCCGCAATTCCAGGGCTGACAAACTAATTGGTTAAAAACCAGTTGGCAGCACACCAAATATCGCAGCTATTAGTAGGGCTATTCGTCATGCACAAAACTTGTGTTACTAAACATAGTTTTCCTGTTTTGAAAATCAGCTTAAATGAATATCATCTGAATAAACATTGTAGAAAACATCTTTTCTAGCCCTATTTTCTTTCTCCTTATCCGATAATTCTGTACGATACTCCCCTACCGAACATCGATACTTACAAAGAAACCACAGTGGGATGATTTTAAAAAGTTTTATGAATATTGTTGGCTTAATTGTACGTTCTTAAGCTCAATAATTTTAATCAAGCCAGCAGTTTGGAAAACTACTAATCTTGCCTGGAATACCCCTATCGAAGCGATGGTCAAGCCTCGATAGTGACAAATCGATATTATAAAAACATCGGAAAATATCGCCGGAATAAGCATCCCTACTTTGTACATACCTATTTCCTTTCTTCCTTTACTTTTTCTCTTTTCAAATTGCTCGTCGAACAGTTGAGATGGCGTAAGTGAAAATCCCTGAAATTTCGGACCATCTTTTGTGTTTTAAAACTAATTCAATGTCAGGGCCGTAGATAAAAGATCAAGAAGCCCTTTCTAATTATATTTGGCAATCAGAAACCAGCTTTTTAGACCTTCCATGTCCACATCAGTTTGGAAATGATTGCAAAAGAAAATGTGATTTTTGTGCTAAATATGCAACTAATATGTGGGCTGCCATCATTTGCGCATTTGTTCGACAGTTAAAACAGCCATTCAAGCTGATAGTTTAGAATTACGTTCATTGCACTTTTATTAATAAAGAACTTAACCTTGCAGATCGAAAGTCTCGCGTGACACGCTCTACGAGGGCGTCAATGGACTCCTGGACGCTTCGGCCAAGAAGAAGCGTGGCTTCCTCGAGACGGTGGAGCTGCAGATCGGCCTGAAGAACTACGATCCCCAGAAGGACAAGCGTTTCTCCGGCACCGTCAAGTACGTTGGCTAAATCACCTGCGCACGTGTTTGGAGACCACCTCCTCCGGGAGTGGAGTCCACCGCGGCATCAGGTAGTCGAGCACATGTGGCTGCCACATCTCGGCGGACCTGCACTCAGGGTCTTAAAAACTTGAGTAGGTCTCCAGCAATGGACACCGACCCCCCTTTCTTATCAAAATGAAAACGTGCTCCCCTGTGGGCCTTGTAAGTTTTCCCCTTGTCCCTGCCCGCATTTCCTTCAATTTCATCCCGCCAAACCCAGCTAACCAAAGGTTTTTTCTTGTCATTCTTTAGGTTGAAGCACATCCCCCGTCCCAAGATGAAGGTGTGCATCCTTGGCGATCAGCAGCATTGCGACGAGGCCAAGGCCAACAACGTTGACTTCATGGATGCCGAGGCCCTCAAGAAGCTGAACAAGAACAAGAAGTTGGTGAAGAAGCTGGCCAAGTCTTACGACGCCTTCCTGGCTTCCGAGTCTCTGATCAAGCAGATTCCCCGTCTGCTTGGCCCTGGCTTGAACAAGGCCGGCAAGTTCCCTGCCCTGCTGTCTCATCAGGAGTCCATGATCGGCAAGATCGAGGAGGTCAAGTCGACCATCAAGTTCCAGATGAAGAAGGTGCTGTGCCTGTCCGTCGCCGTCGGCCACGTGGGCATGAAGTCCGACGAGCTGGCCCAGAACGTCAACCTGTCGATCAACTTCTTGGTGTCGCTGCTGAAGAAGAACTGGCAGAACGTGCGCTCCCTGCACGTCAAGTCCTCCATGGGACCCCCTCAGCGCCTCTACTAGATGTGTTTACATTTCCGTTTTAATATCTTGGAATAAATAAGAGATAATACATTTTTATAATGTAACTAAATTTGAATTTATTATGCCCTTCTAAAGGGTATTAGCAATATTGGGGGATTCAATGTTATTGATATAATACTAGGCTTAAATCTCTGTGGAGCTTATGGTTCTGGCTAAGAAATCGCGCACTTCTAGCGCCGCATGGGACTGCGCGTCCTCTTCAATTGAGTCTGACAGCGGTTCTGCCCGAAACTTGGACACATCCACCGAATTGCCCCACTCCAGCATGTGCGGTTCACTCAGTTCCTCTAGAAGATTGTGCAGCACGGCGGCTGCTGTGATGATGCAGGATGCTGTGTGGAAACTAATGTCCAGCGGCTGGCTGAGGAAACTCCAGCGGGACATGAGGCGATGCAGGGCGCAGTCACTCAACTCCTGCAGGTGCTCGGCCACCTCATTGAAGTCGTGCTCATGCGGGGCAATCGGATCCGTGTAACGCTGCAGCAGCCAAGGACGCAGAGGATAGTTCTGGTTCACTGGAGCCAATACAAAAGCCGGTACAGGACGGGAATTAATGCGGAATTTGGGCAGGGTCGAGAGGGTGTTGGGTGCGTACGAAAACATGGGTGCCATTGTGGCCCGCGAGCCACAACCCAATTGCAGCTCCCGAAAGAGCATCCGGTCGTCCAAGAGGTACTCCATGCGCAGCACGGAGTTTTTGGCATCGCCATTGGCCCGGATGGGAATAGAGCAGACGCCCAGGACGCCGACAAGTGCAGCGGGCATGTTGCTCTCGCGCTGAAAGCCCTCGGCCACACCATTGCAGTCCACAGGGTGATGTGGCAACTGCCGAAGCGCCCGGCCCAATGTGGACATTACGGCGTTGCAGAAGACCTTAAGGCACTTGATAACTCTGGGACGAGGCAGGGAAAACCGCTCGGCAATTAAGGAGAGCCGCTCGCCACTGGCCAAGAAGTACAGGGCCAGGGCAACGCACTTTTCGGGCGAAATGGCCGGCACTCTTCGAGTCAGTTCCTCCGAAACCCGCAGAGTGGGGGCCAACTGCTTGCAGAGAGTCTCGAACGTTCCGCGGGATACGTGGAGAGTGTTGAGGAACTCCTCTTCGCTCATCTCGGGTACCACATGCTCAAAGAAGTGGGAATCGAAGTTTGGAAAGTCAGCCAGCAGGTCCATCTCCTCAGGCGGCTGTCCACCCTCATCGCTGGCCTCGGAGTCCGTGTCCTCGGCTTGGGAATGCTTCAAGCGCAGCATGGCGTACATCTGCAGGTAGTTCGAGTGCATCTCCATCATCTGGCGCATGAAGAAGGAGCGCAGCATCCTGAACCGCCGCCTGGTCCTCTGTTGCGTCCTCCTCCTTTGGGTGATCACGGTGGTCTGCACGTGCTGCAGGTGCAGGCGGATCAGCTGGGCCATCTTCTTCTTGCGATCCTGCAGATCATCGCTTTTGCTCTCTTTCAGCTTGGTCAGGGCATTGCTCAAATTGCTGTTGATTAATTTCAGTTCCTCGTCCATTTTATTTTTTCCTACTTGTTTTTATTAGGGATGGGAGCACACTTCGTGTTGCTATTAGGGATGAGCCAAATTCACTGCCAGTCGGCACAAAATATAGACATTTAACAGTTTCCAATGTCATACTTTTCAAATTCCGCTAAAAAGAAAGTTTAAAGGCTAACCCTTAACAAAAAATATTTTTTTAATCTTTTTCTACAAATTTTGATAGTGGTAGTGGTAATTTCATAGAAAAAGATTTCTATCTTTTTATTTTATTAGCAAACGCTCATAATACATTACGATGTCAAAATAAGTAAAATGTGTTACTTCAAAGACTGCACCAGACAATTAGGGTGTTTCCTAAACTTTTGAAATGCTGAGTTGTTGAAATTGGGACAGCTATTTATCAGCTTCTTAATTTAAACTCCATTTTCTGAAATTTAAGCCATGACCACTCTGTTACATTTTAGTAGCAGAAGAAAGCACTTATTACTTTAAAATCAATTAATTGCGTTTTTTTTAAGTTATTCTTACCTTATTTTAAGTATTAGGCACTAACTTATAATAACAGGCCCACTTTTACGCCCACAAACCGCCCAAAACTGTGGTTCCTACAGTTTTGATGCTAGAGTAGAAGTTTGCCACGCCAACTTTAACGCCCAAAAACCACCCACAAACTTCAAAAAATCGTAAATATGAACGCGGATATCTCGGAAAGTATGAAAGATAGAGAATTGGGGTCTCAGATTTAGATTCCGTAGCCTTAACCGCAGCGCAAGTTTGTTACGCGAATATGCCACACCCACTCTAACGCCCACAAACCGCCCAAATCTGTGGCGCCCACAATTTTCATGCTAGATAAAAATTTTAACCGAAATGTATTAGTCTCGTCAATAGGTGGCGCATTTTAGTCTCGCTTTGCTGCTTGCATATCTCCATTTCCCTTTTTTCCCTTTAGCTGAGTAACGGGAATCTGATAGTCGATCTTCCTTGTTTTTATTTGCACTAAGTGCGTACGAACGTACGTTCGCGACCCCCGGAAATGCCCATATACTCTATGGGGTCGCCAAAGCTTCCTTTTACCTATTACATACTTTCCGACGAACCTGATAAACCCTTTTACTCTACGAGTAGCGGGTATAAATATTGCTTAAAACCCAAAGAAACGTTTAGAAAACATAAAAAAAAAACATTCCAGCGGAATAAGGTGTAGGTAATTTTATTTATTTATAATAATAATAATAATATAATAATTTTATTTATTTATAACCATAACAGGAGACGAATCTAAAAAGTTTGAGCTCAAAAGAAATGGAGTCGGATTGGAGAATGAAAAGCTGTTTAACCGCTGCGCTTCTTCCTGCGGTGGATCTTCCTGACCTTCTTGGGGCGGCGGGTCTTGCGCTTGTAGTGAACCACGTGCTTCTTTTTCTTGGAGGAAGCAGCTGTGGTGGTGGTGGTTGTGGTGCTTGCGGTGGTTGTGGTGGTCGTGGACGCGGCTGTGGTAGTGGTGGTGGAGGTGGAGGCTTCCGTAGTAGTAGTGGATGTGCCTGTGGCAGCACTCGACAGGCTCACCAGGCAGCATCCCAGGATGGCCAAAAGGAGCAGCGCACAGGAATACTTCATGTTGGCCACTGGTAGTTGGGTATGATCAACTGATGCTGTTCTGGCTGGACCACCACACTTTTTATACCTATTTTGTAAGGTAGAAAGCCAGCATCTGACGGATTGGGGTTTATACGCATTAGCGTGAGAACCGTACGCATAATACCATCTGGTCCACACCTTCAAGCCTACCCTGAAAATTAGGCTACTCAAATAAAAATTTGCAAAATACTGAGCCTACCACAAAACAGCTGTGCAAACTTTAAAGATATTTGGCGAACTTTAATTCGGTGGAGTCATGTTGACACTGCTTCGACTTTCAGCTGGTTATATTTATATACGCACTTTTTAATTGCATTATATCACTGGGAACAAACGTGAAAAAACAGCTCGGTAAAATAGATTGTTTGCTCCATTATGCAAGCACAAAGATAAATATGCGTATTAGGGCCAGAATGATATTGGTACATATAAACGTCAATTTAAAAGGGTATACTAGATTCGTCGGAAAGTATGAAACATGTAGAAGGAAGTGTTTCCGACCCCATAACATTGATCAGGATCACTAGCCGAGTCGATCTAGCCGTGTCCGTCTGTCCGTCTGTCTGTCCGTCCGGATGAACGATGAGATCTCGGAAACTATAAGAGCTAGGCTATTGGGATTTGGCAACTGTGGCTCCTACAGTTTTGATGCTAGAGTAAAAATGTTAACTGAAATGAATTGTTCCTATCAATACCTATCGATTGACCCAAAAAAAAGTTTGCCACGCCCACAAATTTCAAAAAATCGTAAATATGAACGCGGATATCTCGGAAACTATCAAAGATAGAGAATTGGGATTTCAGATTTAGATTCCGTAGCCTTGAGCGCAGCTCAGGTTGGTTACGCTAATATGCCACGCCCACTCTAACGCCCATAAACCGCCCAAGCTGTGGCGCCCACATCTTTTATGCCAGATAAAAAATGTTAACTGAAATTTATTAGTCTCGTCAATACCTATCTATTGACCGAAAAAAAGTTTTCGCCCATAACGCATAAATCTGTCTACCGCCCACATAACCATATATTGAGATCAGGGGTAGGTAGCGCATTTCAGTCTAGCTTTGCTGCTTGCATATCTACATTTTCCTTTTGTCCCTTTAGCTGAGTAACGGGTATCTGATAGTCGAGGTACTCGACTATAGCGTTCTGCCTTGTTTTATTCACTAATAAGGATTAAGTATTATGTTCTGACTTTAGTTGAAAAACTCAACTTATCTGCATCCAAGTAATAAATTATATAAAGGGGTAAACTACTAAAAAGTGTAAATCAAACATGTAACATGACATCTCGAGCCTTTACTTGTATTTATATATAGTACTTTTGTTAAAAAGGAATCTGAAAGTTTTTAATTGGTTTCCGTTATGTCTATCTTAAACCCTAGACCATCGAAATTTGGCGATTTTTTGGCAATTATAATAACATTATTTTTGGCTATGGTAATATCATTTGGAATTCTCGACCCACAAATGCTTCTCACGAGTGTGCGGCCGTCGATACTGTTGTCATAAAATTGCAAATTATCCAGATCACAATTGGTTTCCGAGCCCATGTTGAATTCTAAAAGACAAGCAGTTGGTATATGAAGAAAAAAATCGATGAACACTCTCTCACCTGAGAATCTAAATAGCAGGCTTCCGCCGGGAGGTACTGATATATTCCAACTACACGTTAGGCTCTTGCGGCCTTCGAAGGAGGGATTCTCTAGGTAACTCCCCATCGATCCACCCACCGCTAGATTACCACCACATCCGCTGGGGAACTCATTGCTAGTGGAAAAGTAAAATATCTTTAGGGAGGATACCCCATGGCTACGGAGGCGCAGCTCGTTGGTAGTGGTGAGCATTGCTGTGGTTACCCAATAAATCTTCGTAGTATTGAAAATAGTCTTGTTTGACTTAAGATCCGTTATCTGCTCAAGCGTTAATGCAATATTTGAATCTTTTTCGAACTAGTGAAAATGGTTAACTTACATCAAATAAATTGGAAGAATCGTCCATATCGTTGAACAACACAGACATTACGTATAGCGTTATGCTGTATCCATTTGGAACTTGGATGTATTCAGTGCAGTTGCTCAGAGCGTAGGTATTAATAACCTGACTCAGTTCCGTGTAATTTCGATTACAATCTGAAAATACAAATGGAATTTAATACTTGAAACTTCCAAACATTATTTAGGGAACATTTTTGTACTTGATTTTCGTCGTATGATAACTTCAAACCCGTGGGATTCTTCGAGAATGTCGCTGTGGAAGGTAAGTTGTAGGTTGGATTCATCGACTTCCTCAATCATCTTGAAGCTTTTGTCGAGCCGTCCGCAAAACGATCTGGAGAACTGAAAAAGGATATGATAAATATGGGAATGACAATTTTTATACCGTTTTCGCATTACGTAAGGCTTAGACAGTTTTAAGTAGTCTTCGCATTTTCCAGTCCGCTGAGATATTTCTTTCAGACGAATCTTTTGGAAATCTAATTCCACATCTCCGTTGCCCTTAATTGTCCAGGTACATTGAATTGGTCCCTCGTTGATGCTCGAGCTATTATCATATTGCAGACCCAGCGTAATGGTCTACATATGTAAAAAAACAAAATCTCGTTATATTACGTACAAAAATAGTGCGATCATACTTCTTGGTAATGATTTTACGTCAAATTATATTTAAAATAACTTTCCCAACATTCGGTTTCCAAAAATACGGTTGATTACAAATTATAATCAAATCAATCATCATATAGAGGGTGCCGCACTAATCAACAAGTATTGAAATCTTTTTTAAATGCAATTTTGGATGTCTAAAAGAGTTCTGGAATAAAAGGTAGTCGTCTTTCTGAATGAATTCATTATAATTATAACTTAAAAATTTATAGATGCATACACCTATTTTAAATCACTTCTTATTTGTGTGGCACCCACCCAATTAAAAAACTAGAACCAGCTTGAAAGGTAATTTCACATATGACATATGACTTCATTTGTTATCAAGTGATTTACCTCATTCAACTGCATGTCGTACACTGATTGACCACATGCAGTGCGTTCCATTTGCAGGATCAGCTCGAAGCTGATGTTCTGTTGGTACTGCACGGTTTCTGCGTTCAGATGGAAACACAAGGCCGAGTAGGAACTGTACACCTTGGTTGGCTTTGAGCTCACAATATTGTAGTACCTTCCGATTATCTGGTTCTCGACTTCATCGTCATCGAGGACCTCTAAGTAGCTGCAATTGCCGCAGATGTCGTCGTTCAGTTGGAGCTTTCGGACCTCCAACGAAACGCGGTACTCCGGTGGGACAATGGCCTGGAAGTGGCACACTAGGTGCTCGGTTATATTGAAGGTGTACTGCCTTATCAAGCTCGTGCGCGGCAGTTCCAAGTCAAGGTTCACGCGCTCATTGCAATTCTGGGAGAAGACCACTCTGGCCAGGAAGCCCCGGTGACTGGTGGAGCTGTCCGTGGAAAGGACAATCAATGCCTCGTTGCTGTTCACCATGATGGTGCGGGGTTTGGTCATATTGCCGCACAGTTGCTCGGTCCTCTGCTCCAAGCTGGCCACTTTGCCGCGGTAAATGGTCAGACTGTCGAACCGACAGTTCATGCTGCTCTCCATATCCAAGTATTGGAACTCTATCACAATGGCATGCTGTGGAGGCGCGGTAACCCTCCACTCGCATTTCTGGTTGTGGGCATATGCACTGGACTCCTCATCTAGCGGCGGTTGCAGAGTGAAGGGTTTGCTGTGGTTGCCACCGCATTCAATTTTATGGTAACGCAGCTCGAACCCACGCGATACTGGAGAAATGTAGTTCAGGCGAAGACGTCCGTAGCCATTCACCTCGAAGTTGGGACACAGCCTACCAACACTCTGCTCCACCTTACCATCGCCCCGACGATAAGTATCGAAATAGGACCTGCTGCACATATACGGTTCCCATGAACTTCTGCTCTTGACACTGACCACCAGTTGGTGCTCGTCGTCCGTGAAAAATTCGTAGCTGCAGTTGAACTGCAGTCCGCGGGTGGCCGCCCAATCGGGACTTCTCAGGGTTTGGGGCGCTGGTCTGGCCTGCAGTACGGCATCACAGCTAGGGGAGACTTGGAAGCTGAAGCCGTCGCCCGAGGTATTGGAATTCGTTCGGAATATCACTCTCATCCGGGCGGATTGCACCAGAATATCGTTGGGCTCTGGCCTGCCGCAGAGGCTGGTGACTTCTGAAAACGATCGAGTCCTTTCATCATAACGCTCTACTGCCAAGCTGTCCAACGAGCAGTTGGGTGAGTTCACAATGAAGATTCGACTCAGGAAGTGAAGCTTCAGGGATAGGTCATCGTTGGTGACAAACTCCCAAATGCGCTCCTTTTGTTTTAAGTAGTCCTTGCTTTCCATCGTCACCGGTGGGGATGGTCGTTGGTATACGCGAATTACTTTGCCGTCGGATATGGATCTCGTGGCTTGCAGGCTAAACTGACTATGTGCGAAGAGAGGGCTCTCGGAATGATAGAGAATCCTGGAGAAGGGCAGCTCCAGGAGAGTGCGGTTCATCGTCATACCCCGACAAATGCGCCCCACCTCCTCCTGTCCGCTGAAGATCACCAGGTACTCCCGATCGCAGCGGTCGCTTAGGGTCACATTGCCCTCCAGCACATAGCCGTTACTGTTGCTCAGCGTCCAGAGGCACTCCACTACCCCGTAGGCTTCGTTGAGAGAATTCAACAGATCCGGAGACTCTATGGTGACTCCCTCAGCTGCCTGCAGTCGGCCGCCGCAGTTGTGCCGACGATAAGAGGCCCGGAAGCGTCGCAGCTTGATGTGATCGTTATTCAGAAGGTTTACCCGTCCACCTGTGGCAACCACAGATACATAGCTATTGGTGACATTGAAGTGCATCGCCCTAACCGAACTACTTGTGACTTCATCTCGGAACACAACTGCTGGGCCGCCGTTCGTTTCGAACAGAAGCTCTTCGACCTTAAATGTAAGCGTTGTACTGACAGCACCCACAAACTGAATGGTGCAATGGTAGCTGGGCAGCTGGAGGAGGGTTTGGATGGACAGGGATCCCATCGCCTGATCTCCAATATTTGGCGGGCAGACTGTGGGTTCGCTGGAGCTGTAGCGAGCCCTCACAGGGGTGCCACTCAAATCCAACTGATTGGTCATCACTACGACGAGCATAACGTTGTCGGTGGACTCAATTATTCCACTGCCGTTGTACCCATCGACCCGGAATTGGGCGATTTTCGAGAGTGAGTTGATGTCGTTGTAGAAGGAAAAGTGAGCCATACTATCAAAACGAGCGAATCGTCCTAAGGATCTGCAAAGAGGTTATTTAAATACATCAAATTTTTTTTAGCCAAAAAAAACCAATGAAGTTATAAAAGAAAGTGGTGTTATGTACAAATGATCCAACCAGATGTGATACTTAAATGTAATCGGAGTGTGTAATAACAAATTATTGGTATGTGAATTTATCGAGTAGTTGTGCTAGAAATTTTGGCCGTAAAGGCATCACTGAAATTTGCATTTCTTAAAGTTTAAGTTTCTGAGGACCTAATGTTTTCTGACATGGGTAGTTCGACTCTGCTGGTGATCCCGATTAAGAATGTAAATAGATTTATAGTTTATTATGGAACGTACACTTCCTGCAACATTCTTTTTAACGAATACTCTATAGGTAACTCCCTTACCTTTTGAAATAGATACGTAATTTTAATAATTGGTAAACATTTTTGTAACAGTTTGTATTGCTTATAGGTGAAGACCTAGTTACTTACCGCTTAGTTCGGTTAACAACGCGAATATCAGCGAGGTTAAGAAGACTCAGCCGCACCCTCTGTCCTTTTGGCACGTTAATAGTTAAGCGGCAGTATCTCAGCCACGTGGTCGGTGGCATTGGTGGGATCACGATGTCGCCTGCAGCTCCGTTTATATCCCTCGAGCACGTCCCAAGGGAGCGCTGGTACTTTAGCTTGAAGCCCCGATAACTATTTACATTTTGGATGGCCACGAAGCGGATGGTTGCCGCATTGGTGTTCAGGGTGACGAGAGTGGGCGCAACTGTACTGCCGTCCAGCACAAATAGTTCTTGAGTGGGATCCGCATAGTCGACGATTTCCAGACGATCGCTCGTACTCTTCGAGGATGTTCCATTTGAATCGAACGGCAAATGAAGATCTGTGATGTTCAACCGGATGAAATAGTCCTTGGCCATGCGAATACTATACTCGCACACCGACGGTTTGGGATATCCACCCGGACTCGGATAGTTCTCCGAGCTGATGAATCCAGAAAATCCGCTGAACTGCCCGCCACATGCGCTCAGCGAGAGGTTAAGTCGAAAACCTCCACTGGGTTCACTGAGCTGCGACTGATAGTGGAGGAGGAGCAGGTTGCCCGAAGAGCGCACCGTGGCCTGCGGCTTGCGGCAGGTTCGATGCAAGAGGCGGGCCAGCTTGGTGGAGCCATCGAAGAACTCCACATTCTCCTGCTCGCAGTGCCGGGCACTCAACTCGAATGGCTCATCAAAATTGGCCGCGATGGTCTCCCCCGCCGGCGCCATGATCAACCACGTGCATTCTGAATGTGGATGCGGCAGATACGGATATCTTGGCGATGTGACCACATAGTTGGGAGCCTGTTGAGTCAACTGGATCTCTCCGTTGCATTCATTAAACTCTCTGTACGTGAGAGTCCAAGAGCACAAAAATCTTTGCCTGGAGTTTTGATGGTACTTTATGAAGGCATGCGAGCCGCTCGTCCGCAATTGTGTCTTCCTGAACTCCGGTTGGTTGCTAAACCTCCCATGTTCCAGCAAAGGAGCATGTTCATCTAATCCATCGTAGATGAGACCATACGCCTGACAGTCCTTGTCAGGATTGTCATTATAAGAGATGGTAATGTCTATTTTCCGACCTGGGCTCACATCGATGTGCCAGGAGCAATTATTTTCCAATCTGTCCAGCAAAATGGTGCCCACAGTTCCTGTCATGTTGGAGCCGCAGACGCTACGAAGTTTCGCGGAAAATCCAGTTCCGTTCATGGATACATCACTGTGGAATTGGAGTCTCAGGTTTGGCGTTCCGTGAACTGGAGCAATTAAACCCGTCGGCTTCTTGCAAGTGCGCATCTCATTAGTCCAGTGGCTGAGGTCACTTGAACTCTGAACCTGAAGATAATCAGCGGCACATTCGGGGAAGTCCTCCAGATCCACTCTAAATGAATACGCGTAGATATGTTGTGAAGGGTCCTCTGATTTAATGGTCCATTCGCAGTCTAGATTGGGTGCGTAACCGTACGGGAATCCAGGCGAGCTTAGATCAAGGTTGCCGGAGTTGCCCAACGTCACTTCCTTGGTACACTCCATGGAGGTCAGGCTGACGTTGCCCTCCACCAAAGAGCTTTCCAGCACGTGCCACTTGATCCGGAAATTACTCAGTTCAGCGTTCAAGGTCTTTAAATATACCACATTGCTGCTCGAGGTGAAAGTCCATGGACTGGCTTTTATGTCAACCGCCAAAGCCATTTCATCATATCCATTGAAGAGCTGGAAAAAGTTTTTTTATTATACAGGTAATTGCAAGAAAGTAGTGGTTCAACATCTTTAAGTATTAAAAAAAACCATGTGGCCCGATTTCTCAACGTCATGCTAACCTGTCTCATTGAGTTAAATTGGTGTTTCAGAAAAATTTAGTTTTCCAAGTATTGGAATATAAGCTTTAGTTCCTTTTGTTATTATGGTTAGTTGGAAGTTAGTTATGGTTAGAATTCATGTTAGGCTTCTAACTAGAGTAAGTGTTCTAGTTAAATTTGTCGCCTACTCTTCTTTTTTATCTACATCAGACCGAAAGCTATTGGCAGATAAAACAATTTTGACTTTCAAAACAACTAAACACTCTGACGGTAAGAAAACCTATAACCTTGAGAAATCAAACCTAAAAGTGTCATCATGTACATCATACTTACTAAAAGGCCTGATATATATTCCTCAAACTGCAACACCACAACATTTTCGCGATCGGTAAAAATGCGCCAGGTAAAGGGCTGATCCTCGCCATTAACGAAGATCGGTGGAGGAGGCTCGATTGTGCCATTGGTGCTGGTTGTAACTTCAATGTTGTGTACTGAGGAGAGGTAGGTTCAAATGACTTTTACAGATCTATAAAAATGGATTGGCTGAAGATCACTTACCGTAACTCCAGCGTAATCGGAAACCCCCAGCGGTGTTGGCCGGCCGGCTACGGAATTTGATCCAAACCTCGGATCGCACCAGCAACGGACTCGCCGGTAGGTTTTTATCGCAGTACAGGCCCAGAAGTGGACCCTGCGAGCCAGAGCGGAGCTCCAGGAAGTCCTCGTTGCAGTGCTCGGAGCGGACGATGTCCATAGCCTCAAAACTGATTTCCAGAGCATTTCCAGGACGCGCACCGATTGTCCAGACGCATTCAATGTTGGCCGGATAACTGTCCGGGTAATTTGGTGAACTGAGGCTACCACGGGCTGATGTGATGTTCCCGCCACAGGAGTTCTCGAAAGTGCTGTACAGCGCCTGCAACCTTACTCCGCGGGTCAGGATGCGCACATTGTTGGCAGGCACAATCACATTGGCCGGATGATCGCGGCACATCTGGTAAAGCACAACCTCATCATCGTCGTTGATCAGCTGAAGATCCTCCGGGCATTTGTTCGAAGCAGCCGTACACTTCGGACATTCTAACTGATTGATCCTAAGACTCAGTTTGCTGCCCTCCGGTGAGGAGATCAGCCAGTTACAGTCCTCGTCCAGCCGGGACTGCAAATAGCCCTCTCCGGTGGAAAGCGGCCCACCGCACTGCCGCTCAAAATACATGGCGAACCGACCCCAGGTTCCCGCCTGGGCTTTAAACCGGACACGCAGCTTTTTTCCGTGAAATATGCGGACAATGGGCGAATCTTCCCCGCAGGTGGTCTCCATAAATAGCCCGTTCTCATCCTCCCCCGGCTTTGTGAGTTCCAAGAAGGTCAGCGAGCAATTGGCCGATTCCGTGAGGTTGAACTGTTCGAAACGCAACCTAATACCATAGCCATTCGTAACCTAAGGAAAATAGGGATTCCATTTGTTAAAACTTGGAATAATCAACACTCCTTCGACTTAATTAAATTGAAGGTTTTGAAATAGAATGGGGGTAAACTTGTTTAACACTTTTTTCGAAGTTCTATAAAAAATTGAAAATTAAATTTGACAGTCTTAAAACATAAGGTATTCACTGTATGAATTATGTAAGACCCGTTCTACATACAAAAATGCATCGACTTCGGCAAAGTATTTATAGTAATATTTGAGTCATTCAATGGGGGTTTTAGTTTTAATTGTTATTTAGCCAAATAGTTCTTAAATTTTTGAGTATCTTTGGGTGTTTCTACAATTTTAAAATTGCCGTGACTCTTACACCCTATTTTCAAGTCGTCTTTTATGTCACTTAAAAAAAATCTTTCCTTCTAACACCATTTTTAGGTATGTAGCTTCTAGTACTGCCCATCTTTTCAACAAATACCATACATCTTTACTACATGAATTACAAGTATGTATATCGTAAAATATGTATCGGAATTTATAAAATTCAATGTAAGAACAGTCTCGTCATGTTGTTATCTGAATAACCTACCTCCACAGTCCATACGCACTCCACATTTGTTGAGTAGTTCGCGACATTGCTGCTATCTTGGAGATTATGGAAGCCAGGAGAGGTAAGCACCCCGCTGCTGGCGGTAATGAGTCCTCCACAGCTGGCCGGCACCTGGACGTAGCTGGCCTTGAAGTACTTCCTAGTCGGCGATGGGCTGCTGACAAAGTGTACCACCAGCTCGTTACCCGGCGAGGTGAAGGTTTGCGTCTGCGTCTCCTCGTGGCAACTGCGGTACAGAACCACCGAGGAGTTGGATCCACTAGGGGCTGATACGGAGAGGCTGGATTCTGCATTGCTGCAATCCATCTGGGGCGCCTCGAAGTGGACTTCGTGAAGCAGGAGACGGATTTGCTGGCCCTCCGATGCTGTGATGACCCAAACGCAGTCCATGTCCAGGCTAAAGGGTGCCTTCGGCGATTCAAACTTTGTGCCCTGCTCGTGGAAATGGTCTCCGCATCCCAAACGCTTGTACTCCGCCCGGAAGCCCTGCATTTGATCTGAGAAATCGCTTTTGAAGCGAAGGAGCAACCGATTTCCGGCCGTAGTGATGGGGTCCAAGTTGTTATTGCTGCAAATTCGGTTCTCGGAGAGCTGTTGGTCGTCCAGCATGTCGATAAGGGTCGTGGAGTCAATGCACATATCCCCAAATTTCTCCACGGATAGATGTGAGAAGACGAGTTGCAGACGATTCTTTCGTCCGCCAGCGCGAATATCCCATTCGCAGTCTAAGAGTGGTGGATAGTTCTCCGGGAAATTGGGCGTTTCAATGGCACCATGGAAGGCCTCCAGTCGCACTCGACAGTCGGTTTGGTAGTTCAGCATAAAGTTGGTGCCGTCGGGTGACTCTTGGCTCACATCGTAACGAACCAGGACTCGATTTCCGGTGGACACCAGGGGTTGGGTGCCGTTCCCATCGCATCGCATCGGCATTGGCCTGCTGGCGGTGGTGGGGCCATCGTAGATGGTCAGTTGACCGCTGCAGAGACGCCCGTCACTGCTCTCGAGCTGCATTTTTACTCTGGATCCCTTGGCGACGACAATTTGCCAGTCACAGGCGAGAACACCACGATTCCCCTCCAGCAGATGTGGTGAATGTATGCTGCCCGAGGAGGAGCTCAGTTTGCCGCCACATCCGGCTCCGGTCTGCTGCCAGCTCAGAAGGAATCCACTCTTCTCGACACTGTCATCTGACTTGAAACTGAGATGCAGGGCATTTCCAAATGAGGGGAGCCTGCTTGGTATTTTAGTTCCGCAATATCGTCCGATTAGCGGCGACGACTGGGAGTCACCATTTCTGAGGAAGAAAATTGAAAATTGCCAACTTTTTTGTAATACCCCAGGTCGCTCACCTTATCTCTAGCCAGTCTCCTTTGCAGTCATCGGCGTCATAATCAGATTCCAGCGTAAAGTTATGCACCACCAATTCCAAGCGGTGGCCAAGTGGTGCTCTTATAACCCACTCACAGTTCTCTGACTCTCCATATGCCTTTGGCCAGTTTGGAGACTTTATGTAGCCAAAGCGACTGGTCAATGTTCCTCCGCAATTCTCTGATTTAAATAAAATACAATCAACATTATATAAGGATTCCTTAAGGTAACTGTACAACATTTTAGGTGGCATAATGAACTTTAAAAACAAGTTATTTAGAGCTACCGTATTCATTTGGTAGATTGGCTAAAGGGCTAGATTGCCCTGGAATCTTATCCGATCTACAATTACAAATGATAAATATATATGCATTATAGTACCTTGCTCAACAATGCTGAAACTCATTATTATCAGTCCGAAACCGCTATCCTTATATACGTTTATTGTCAGAAGATCTCCATCGAAAACATCATTGACGTTCAACGAGTAACTAAAAAATATATATACTATAAATATTTATTAGGGGGATGCAGTTTGTCAACACCTACCTGTTTAACAAAACTCCTGGGCTTGTGGTGTTGTCATATATATTTATATTAACATCACGAGACACTGAATGGATATTTATTTGTTTCCTTCCAGGAACATCAATAAAAAACTGACAGAATGACGAGGGAATGCGTTTAACGAATCGTTTGCCGGGCTCATGAAGAAAACCACCACAGTTGGTGGGCAAAAAGGTGTACTCCAATCGCATTCCACGGCCACTACCGGATCCGCGGAATACCAAACTAGCCCGATTCGCGTCTGACATCATCACTAAGTCATCCATTGACTTTACAATATGCCGCTTTTCATTACGCGATAAGTATACCTAAGGGATTTCAGATTTATAGCATAAGTTCAAGATTCGGAGATGTCCCTTACATCCAAATAAGATGTTCCATTTTCATTATTGGCAGTGCCCATGGATAGGTCTGTGATGTGTATACGTGCAACCGTATCCAGGGGCCCAGTCAAGTTGTACGTGCAGGTCATGTCATCGAGATAGGGACCCGGGTAGTTTGGGGTACTAATTATTCCAGAAAAGCCCCCAAAGGTACCAGTACACACTGAAAAATAATGACAATCACTATATCTTTATGATATCTAAATGTTGAAAAAAAGAAAGCACATTATAATAAAATAATGTCAGGAATTAATAAATATTACTAAGAAAATAGAAACACCTAAGGATCAATGTTATATTTGGATCGTAAACTTATTAAATATATTTGATACTATAAAATAATGACAGAAAAGAGCAAGATAGCGCATTAATTTACTCTGGCTAAGAGCGAGACAGCAATATTCAAAACTCTTCCTGTCATATAGAATTGATAATGAATTTCTTTAAAATTATCATCATATCTAATTAATTTTTATACCCGTTACTCGTAGAGTAAAAGGGTATACTAGATTCGTCGGAAAGTATGTAACAGGCAGAAGGAAGCGTTTCCGACCCCACAAAGTATATATATTCTTGATCAGGATCACTAGCCGAGTCGATCTAGCCATGTCCGTCTGTCCGTCTGTCCGTCTGTCCGTCTGTCTGTCCGTCCGGATGAACGCTGAGATCTCGGAAACTATGGGAGCTAGGCTATTGAGATTTGGCGTGCAGATTCCTGAGCTTCTTACGCAGCGCAAGTTTGTTTCAGCACAGTGCCACGCCCACTCTAACGCCCACAAACCGCCCAAAACTGTGGCTCCTACAGTTTTGATGCTAGAATAAAAATTTTAACTGAAATGTATTGTTCTCATCAATACCTATCGATTGACCCAAAAAAAAGTTTGCCACGCCCACTTTAACGCCCACAAACCGCGAAAACCTGTGACGCCCACACTTTTCATGCTAGATAAAAAATTTTAACTGAAATGTATTGGTCTCGTTGATACCTATCGATTGATCCAAAAAAAAAATTTGCCACGCCCACTCTAACGCCCATAACGCTTAAATCTGTACACCGCCGGTAGGTGGCGCATTTTAATATCGCTTTTCTGCTTGCATATCTCCATATAGATGAGTAACGGGTATCTGATAGCCGAGGTACTCGACTATAGCGTTCTTCCTTGTTTTTATGTGTAGTTATAAATATTTTATTTTAAATAATTTTCAGTGACTAAGTTTAAGTAATTAACTAACGTTTTCATTAACTACATTTAATTAGTTAATTACTTAAATTTAATTAATGAAGATATGAGCAAGTGAGAAATGGCTTATGGGTTTTTGCATTGACTTACCTCTTGTATAGCTCAATTCAAAACTTTTTCTCAGTCTCAAGCCCATTAAGGCGAATTCATAGCGCATTAGCAACACATTTCCCGTGGAGATTAGGGGCTCCAGATCACTTTCCTCTTTACCGCCACACACGCGTCGCAATTGGGGCGAATAAGTTGTTCTCCCGTCGAAGATCTCAATTTTCTGAAGGAAGCACCTCATCATATTTACCTCCACGAACTCTAGCTTAACTTGGGTTCCCCGTGGCTGTTCGATCAGATAAAGACAGACCTCGGCGTCCATGTAACCCCTAATATGGCCCCGCGACTCAGTGAACACTCCTCCGCATCCCGGATGGCCCGGCACCACCTCGTAATGCATCTGAAAGGAACTATCCGAACGCAGTGCGTCCGTATGAAAGTCCAGACGCAGGCTATTCGAAGAGCTGTACAACGGGGAAGGTTGGAGGGACTGGCAGGCCCGGAGGAGCTGGCGATCCGAGTCGTAGACAAGGAGCGAATCTTGGGAGCAGTTCACACCTTCGGTGCTGCCCAGCTTTATGTCGTAGAAACGAAGGAGCAGCCGGTAGCCAAACGGCGCCGTCAGTTGCCAGCGACAATCGAGTCCAGGACGGGCGTCGCCAGGATAACCTGGAGATCGAATCACGCCAGTCTCCGTCTCTGTCAGGTTAATGGTTTCGCCACACGAGAATGGCAGCGAGCTCCAGATGACGTGGAAGCCCTTGCCCTGCGTCTGGTTGTCGGAGCGGAACCAGAAGAAGACCTGCTCCTGGCTGGTAACCACACTCCCGTTGGTCATTGGCAAATGGGAGCCACAGAAGCGTCCAATCAAGCGGGCGGTCAGCGATCCGCCGTCGTGAAGCTGCAGGAAGTCGGCGGAGCAGTCGGCACTCTCCTGCAGATCGAACTGGGTGAATGTCAAGTTCAGAATCATATTGGCAGTAGTGCGTATGATGAATGGACAACGCTCGTCCGCCTGGTAGTCGCCATCGGCGGTGTTGGGCGGAAAACGCAGCTGGCCCGAAGGACCACGGATAGTGGCACCGCAGAAGAAGCGCTGATGGGAGCACGTGGTGCCGGTGAAGCCATGTGGGCAGACGCACTGGAACTTGTTATCCATCAAGAGGCGGCAGGTTCCACCATTCAGGCAGGGACTGGAACTATGACATGCGTCCGACGAGTTGCACAAGGCGCCCGTATAACCAGGCTGGCAAATGCAGGTGGTTCCCCTCCCATTCTGGACACAGGTGCCGTTGTTCTGGCAAGGATGCTGTTCGCAGGGCAGTCGGCTGGAGTCCGAGGTGCAACCATCGGCGCCGTAGCCATGGCCATAGCTGCCCAGCGGGCAGGTGCACACCACCGTGTCGGATACGTACTCGCACTTGGCCAGCGGATGGCAGATCCCCTCATCGTTGCAGGAGTTGGAATTGGAGGCTGTGCAGGTGCGTCCGTCGCCGGTCCAACCTGGTGGACAACGGCCACAGCGATTCGAGCCCTCCGTGTTGGTGCACGTCACCCGCGGCTGCAGGCTGCATCCTCCATTATCCTCGCCGGCGCATTCGTCTATGTCCCGACAGAAGCGTCCGTCACCCGTGTAGCCCGGTGGACAGGGCCCACAGCGGAAGCTACCCGGCAGATTGATGCACACGTCGTGGCAGGGATTCACGCGCGGCTCACACTCGTCCACATCCCGCGTGCAGGCACTTGGACTGGCGGATGTCGCATTGGCATCCGCCCACGTCCATCCCTGATCGCAAATGCACACAAAGCCGGCGGCATTGGCCGCCTGAATGCAGGTGCCGTGATCGCCACAAAGCTCCCGGGATCCGCTGGTCATGCAGGTATTGTTCCGGAGGCGACAGTGGGTGCCGGAAAATCCATTGCGGCAAACGCACCTGAAATGAGGAATCGCAGGAACACATGTCACCTGCTGTCCTTGCTGCAGGGCGATGCACTTTTCCACCTACCGATAGCTTCCGGGTGTGTTTATGCACTGGCCATTGTTCAGGCAGCCGGCCAGGTCCGTTCCTGCCAAGGTGAAGCACTCGTTCACGTCATCCTCGCATGTGACGCCCTAAATTAGGCACAAGTATTATTACTTATTTAACGTTCTAATGGTGGCCGTATGTCACACGCTTAAAAGTTCGACTAAACTAACCTAACTTATGCGTTATAAGAGCAGCACTACCATATTGTGAATAACGGCTAACGACTATATTTGAAAAATGTATGATTCACATTCCCACATTTTTACAGATTTCAAAAATTTGGGATTTTGTTTAAATAATCAATAAACACCTTCGTGCCAAAAATATTTTAAATCGAACCATCCATTAAAAGTTATAAGAAAATAGAGTGTGTTATTTCGGAAACAGCCTAGTTACTGAATGCATTTCTACATCTCCCTCGCACTTTCCTTAGCTGGGTAATTAAATTTGATTATTATACCCGTTACTCGTAGAGTAAAAGGGTATACTAGATTCGTCAGAAAGTATGTAACAGGCAGAAGGAAGCGTTTCCGACCCCATAAAGTATATATATTCTTGATCAGGATCACTAGCCGAGTCGATCTAGCCATGTCCGTCTGTCCGTATGAACGCTGATATCTCGGAAACTATAAGAGCTACAATACTGGGATTAGGCATGCAGGTTCAGCAATGTGCCACGCCCACAAACCGCCCAAAACTGTGGCTCCTACAGTTTTGATGCTAGAAAAAAAATTTAACTGAAATGTATTGTTCTCATCAATACCGATTCGATTGATCCAAAAAAAATGTTTGCCACGCCCACTTTAACGCCCACAAGCCGCCCACAAACTTCAAAAATCGTAAATATGAACGCGGATATCTCGGAAACTATCAAAGATAGTGAATTGGGATCTGTCTACCGCCCACATAGCCATATATTGAGATCACGGGTAGGTGGCACATTTCAATCTCGCTTTGCTGCTTGCATATCTCCATTTCCCTTTTGTCCCTTTAGCTGAGTAACGGGTATCTGATTGTCGAGGTACTCGACTATAGCGTTCTTCCTTGATTTTTTTTTTTTCAAATTATTTTACCCAAATTCGACGGGAACAAATTTTAATGTACTTAAGAGTATATTTCTTGGAGATAAATATTGAATTAAAGTATTTCCATAGAGGTTTGAACAATAACAATATTGACCAAAAGATAGAAAAGATACATAAATAACGGATTCAAAATCAAATTGAATTCGAGAAAATCTCCGAATGTAAAAATCAGACCAGGCCTGTACATATTAGCGAGGTCTTCTTTCTACGCGAAAATACGCCCCCAATCTCCAAAGAGACGCCCCCGCTAACTCACTTGCCAACCCGCGGTGCACTCGCACTGGAATGCCTGGTAGGCGTCGTGGCAGGTTCCGCCGTTCTGGCACGGACTGGAATCGCACTCGTTCCTAACCAGGTTCGCGGTGACGGTTCGCAGGATTCCCGTGACGCGTTCCACCTTCTGCAATTGTCGGCGCAGGATGCGATTGAGCCCATTCCTTCGCGTGGAGTTCATTGTATTGAAGACCCTTCGCTGTATCCGCTTCATCATGCGCTCCACATCCCGGAACTGATCCTTGACCAACTCCGTCGAGAGGGGCTCCCTTCGAGCCGCCGCCTGGCGATCGGTTATGATCTTTTGGCGACGACGGAGCAGCGACAACATGTCCACCCCATTGATGTTCACGGTGGCCGATTCGCCCATCAATCGCAGGGTAACATTCTGATCCCTTGCTGCCTCGAGGAGCAGATTATCGTTGGACTGCCTCACGACCCGGGCACGCTGCTCCAGATTGTCACGAAATCCACTCGCGGAAAAGATTTGAAGGCACAACACCAGAAAAAGTGGTGATTTTGGTAGCTTAAGAAGCATTTTTCTTCATTTTTTGTTTAAGGCACAAGTTCACAATTGGAGTTGGAGTTTTTATTTAATTTTATATTTTCTGAGAACGTTTTGAACCACACGACAGGCAATATCCACGGAAACTGGTACCAGACGGACAAGAGTCTCTCATTTTATACTGCCAAAAAGTGGGCGTCTACGATACTGGCAGTGCGATGAACTGTGGAACATTATTTATATTGCGGAATTGCACTTACATAGCATTCAAGTGAAGATATTCAGATCGCTTTCGACAGTCTTTTTATCTCCAAATATTTTTAAAACCCTTAATCTAGAAAAAATTTGACTTCGAGCAGCCCTTCCGAATGGGATAGCTATTATTTTTGTATTAAGTAAATGGAGTTCCCATTTATAACTTGAAATTTAGTCTTTAATTGTTCCCTAAATAACAAATTTGGAATTGTTTTTTCTGGCCATCCTAAAAAACTGTTGTAAAAGTAATTTTTTTAAAAAATGTTCGTTCAATACAAATGAAATATACCTAAAATAATACACCCTGCAAGGGTATAAAAAAGGAGTCCACAATATTCAATATAAATTTCTTTTTCGACTTGGCAATTTTTTTTTTTGGATTTTATGTGTGACTTATGTGTTTTTTCAATCTAATTATATTGACCTAAACACATTTCCGATTAAATTCAGCTGATAACAATTGTTTTTCATAGCTAAGGCACTGAACAACTCGTTTCTTTTCTAAAGCAAGATGTGAATTTGTATGAGGTTATTCGGACCGCCAAATTTAAGAGGTTCTATGGTGTAATGGTTAGCACTCTGGACTTTGAATCCAGCGATCCGAGTTCAAATCTCGGTAGAACCTTAAATCATAATTGTTTTTTATTTCATAAGCATTTTATCTTATTTGTTTTCTCTTTTACAATTTTAAATCTCTCTATATTTTTGAATAACCTTACCATCAGAAGTAAATAATATACGATTTTTTGCATATCTTGATTAAAAGTAAGATATTAATATTTAATAATATGCAATAAAATATTTAATGGTAATAATACATTTATATACACATTACGGCGGGCCAATAAACTTTTCTAAGCCATATTGTTAAACCAACTTATGGTCTAAAGCAGTGGTCGGCAGCGGCCTATCTAGTGAGCATAGGGAAGTGTTCTGCCCATCCTCTGCTCGCTCACGTATAACGTACATGTTCGTGTGACTTCGGCATGGTTCTTCGGGTCATTTTTTTTTCAACTTCGGCGCGCTTTTTTGTTGCTGCGGCAGAGGATCTCAGTGCAAATCAGAGAAACGTCTCGCTACAGCACGCCGCGCGCAAACTTCGTGTTTGTTACACTCACACTAATGCAAGGCAAACTTGTGATGGTATGTGTGTGCCGACCACTGGTCTAAAGTGATCCAGACCATATAAAGATCTCGTTATAAATTTGAAAAGTGTATTGAAATATGAATATTTTACAAATAGTTGCATTTTGCGTTATCAGCTTGGAATTGGATTCAGTTCAAGTGAAAGCAAAGCCTACTTGACAATGACCTTGGAAGCAATTTGCACAATCTGTTCATTCAACACTGTCAGAAAAGCAGATACATTTGTATCTAAGTTGCTCTTCATGTGTATCCTAGTAAATACGCCTCCATGACAACAAGAGTGAAAGCAAATTAAATCAATTTAGTCGAAACGAAAGCCAGTGAGAGACAGATATAGGCACTTGTACTACATATATGTAGTAAATATGTACTATTAATAAGTGAAAAACAAAAATCAGCTGCTTGCAGTGCGAGCCCCCAACAAGGGGGACTTGTTTCCATGCCAGCCTACGTCGACTGGTTGCCATCATTCAGTCAAGAGCAAGTAGTCGAACGCATCTGGACACGAGCCAGCCGGAACACATATATTGGCGAGTATAAAAATATATAAAAAATACCAGCGGCATGTCAATTTTCTCAAAAATGATGATATTTCGCGGTGGTAAGCATCAAGCATATAACTCGTGTCGCTCAATAAAATAATGTGAATACCTAAATTCGTAGATAAATAACTTATCTCTTATAATTTACATGATATATATATAATTTACTTATATATTTACATGAATTTAATATGTTAAAAACTAGTGATCTTAAAAATACAGCAAATATTTGTTGAAATACCTTATATGTATGTATTTGTATAAATAGTTCTTATTTAGGAATGAATATTCTAAAAGTACTATATAAAATATAAAACTTTAAATATTGTGGTCATATAAAAAATGTTTTTAATGAAATAATGAAATTTATTTTTAAATATGTACAAAACTACATATTTTTAAAATCTGTAGTTATGTTTAAACTAAAAATATTTATTAGATAAACTAAACACCATACCTTTTTTCCCAGTGGGAAGACGTCAATACAGCGCTGCGGCTCAGTCTCAGTTGAGGGAGATTTTGGGCACCCAGCTGGCTGGGATTAAGGAAGCGGGCACTTTCAAGGCAGAACGAATCATCACATCTTCGCAGAGCACCCAGATAACAGTTCAGGGCAGCGACAAGAAGATACTCAACTTTTGCGCCAACAACTATCTTGGACTAGCGGTATGTAGATTTAATATGTGCCAACTTGTATTAACTAAGAGGTTCCTTTGGCCACTAGAACAATACGGAGATCGTGGAGCACAGCCAGAAGCTGCTGGAACAGTATGGCGCCGGTCTGAGCTCAGTGCGCTTCATTTGCGGCACGCAGGATATACACAAGCAACTGGAGCAGAAGATAGCCCAGTTTCATGGACGCGAAGATACCATTCTGTATGCCTCCTGCTTCGACGCCAATGCCGGGATCTTCGAGGCCATTCTCACGCCGGAGGATGCTGTGTTCTCCGATGAACTGAACCACGCCTCGATCATCGACGGCATCCGTCTGTGCAAGGCCAAGAAGCAGCGCTACAAGCACCGGGACTTGAAGGACTTGGAGGAGCAGCTCAAGGCGAGCGATGCTCGGCTCAAGCTTATTGCCACCGATGGTGTGTTTTCCATGGATGGAAACATCGCACCTCTGGCCCGAATCGTTGAGCTGGCCAAGAAGTACAAAGCCCTTGTGTTTGTGGATGAATGCCATGCCACGGGCTTCTTTGGTGCCACGGGTCGCGGAACCGAAGAGTACGATAATGTCATGGGTGAGGTGGACATCATTAACTCCACGCTGGGTAAGGCTTTGGGTGGAGCTTCCGGCGGATACACCACTGGTCCCACCGAGCTAATCTCGTACCTGCGCCAGAAATCCAGGCCGTATCTCTTCTCCAACACCTTGCCGCCCGCAGTTGTGGCGGTTGGCCTCAAGGTCATGGATATGCTCCTGCAATCCAGCGAGCTTACCCAGCGAGTCCAGAGCAACACGCAGCGTTTCCGGAAGGCCATGACCAAGGCGGGATTCACCATAGCCGGCGAGAACCATCCCATCTGCCCCGTGATGCTGGGCGATGCTCGCCTCGCCTCCAAATTCGCCGATGAGATGCTGAGTGAGTTGGGAACTTGATTATCCTCTGATCTGTGCTATACTAAATTCCTATTTCAACTCCAGCCCGTGGCATCTATGTCATCGGCTTTAGCTACCCAGTGGTTCCTCAAGGAAAGGCCCGCATCCGCGTTCAAATCTCCGCTGCCCACACTGAAGCTGAAATCGATCGGGCCATTGACGCATTTATTGAAGTCGGTCGCTCTCTGAAAGTAATCCAGTAAAAATGTTAAACTGGGTCCAGTACTGAATATTGCATTTATAACTATTAATGGCACTTGCCTTAGAAATACTGAGATATTTTCATCGACAAATATGGTCAATGAGTAAAAAAGTCGAATCCTGCATTTACATTACATTAAACGAGTTGCATTTACCTATAAAGTGAAATACTTGTTCTATTTTGATTATAAAAACCACCATTGCTCCTATTTCATTATTAGGCAATGTTTTCTGTGTTTAAGAAGTTGCTTTATTTGGTTTATAATATTAACTAAAGATCATTTACTAAGTAAATAATGGACTATTGCAGTGGGTTTAACTTAAGCTTAGATTGCACGATAGAAGAAAGTTTGGCTCAAGCCGGTAAATGCACGCGCCAACTTAAGCGAGCACAAACCTACATATCTAGGTACTAAAAAGTAATAACAAATAATTCGAGTCGAGTAACAAATAAACATAAAAACAATTAAGGAAAGGATGTGTGGTCGGCTGGCCAAATCTCTTAAAACATGTTGCATCAACTAATATGGAATCAATGCTTCAGTTATGAAAGCATCTATATAGTTTAAAAGCCGGGACTTTAAGTTAGCTCAAACCAAAAGGAAACTTTTACAAAGCGCGTAATGTGAGTAGATTGGGCTAGCGTACCGAGGTGTACATATTGCGATGACTATGAAATACTTTGGTTAGTTTTGTGTCTGCATGATTATGGTTAGATGCCATTCAATTCTATTCGAGTCGATTGTGATTATTTGTTGACCAGGCCTCGGGCTTTGGGATACGCCGAGGCTGGCTTCTTTGCCGGTAGACGGCCCGTGGGCGGACGGCGATTGGAGTCCAGATTGGGGGCGGCACTCGGCAGCCCCCGGCTCGACTTAATGTTTCGGACACTCGGAATGGAACTTCCTACAGCTGTGCCGGCACCAGGACCAGCTCCTCCATTGGCATTTGCATTGATGATGTTCTCTAGACGGCTGCGCAGTGAATTTGTGTGTGAGTCCACTATATCGATATCATCTCCGCCCGTTTGCATGGCTTGCGCGAGCACCGCCTGAAGCGAGGCAGACACCTTGGGCGTACGATACTCCTGTGTGGTGCGGCAGGGCATCTCCAGCTCGTAGTTCACGATGTTCTCGCTCTTGAAGCGCAGGGAGCTTGGAGCATTCGACTTGGCTTCCTGCAGGGCGTACTCGGAGATGGGCCTCCTACGCTGAGGATGCGACACTGGTCGCTTGCTACTGAACTTGCCATCGCCACCAGGCGGCGTGGGCAAGGACATCGAAGAAAATTTCCATTCCTCCTGCTCCTCGTCATACTTGGCCTGCGTGTACAGGCGCTGCTTCACCTCAATGGGCACAAAGTTGTCGATAATCAGTAGTTGGCGCTTCAACTCCTTCACCAGCTCGTTCTGAGCCATCTCGAGTTCCCTGAGGTCCTGGTTGTGGTCGGACTTGCAGTCGTTGAGCTCCTGCTGCAGCGCCAAATACTTGGCATAACACTTTGAGAGCTTGCGCTTCTTAAGCTCGACCTCTTGCTCGAGAGAAACGTTTCGTTCGCGAATCTCCAGTGTGGTCTCCTCTTGCAACTCCAGCTGTTGCTGGATCTCGATTTCTCGCTTCTTTCGCTCGGCGATTTCGACCAGCTTCTTCTCCAGTTCAATCTGACGCTCACTGTACGTGTCCAACAGGTTTTTGCCGCCGCGCACCAGTTGACCTTCCAGCTCGGCCAGTTTGGCTGCCAGTTTTGAGTTCTCCACACGCTCCCGCTCCAGTTCCTCGTTGGACTTGGCCACCTCGGCCTCGTTTTCCTTGTCCGACTCGGATTCTTCGCCCTCGGGATCGCTCTCCTCTTCCGCCGGCTGCTCAATGGTAGAGACCTGTAGAGAGTCGGACATTTCCTTGGATACTGGCTCTTTCTTGGGCTTCTTGACGCGCTGCTTCTTGGTTGTAACTTGCTTCACGCTGCGCTGCTGCTGTTGCGGAGCAATCAGACGCTTGAGTCGCTCAATTTCAGCTTGGTACTCCTTCAACTTGGCGTCCTGCGGGTCTTCGTTCTTGATCGGCTGGTTCTGGATGGACTTGGCCCGAGAGGCGTAACGCAGCGTTGTCAGAGTTTCGTTATAATTGTAGTTGGAGGGCCCAATGTTGGCAATCATGATGGTCTTGGAATTGCCACCAAGCGAATCCTGCAACAATCGCGTCAACTTTGAGTCACGGTAGGGAACGTGGGGTGAACTCTCGGCGAGGGCGGAGATCACGTTGCCTAGCGAGGAGAGTGCCAGGTTGATCTTGCTGGCTTCCTTCAGCCGTTCCGCTGATGCTCCTGTCTTGGACTGACGCTCGCTGCCCGCCAAATCGATGAGGTTTAGCTTTCCCACCTTGATAGTGTTCGTTTCCGTGTCGCACATCTCAATTTTAATCATGAAGATAGCGTGGGATCTGCAAGAAAAATGTATATTTTAGATTGATACATTTTTAGAGCCTGGTCTTATATATTATGGTCTCACTTATGTTTGGATTTTATAAGACTTTTTTCCATAGAACCCAGAGAGGTTTCTCTTCCACTCACCTTGAACTGTGCTCATTCATGTTGGTGAATCCCACGGTGCGGTTCTTGTTGCCCACCTGCATCACCTTAATCATGTCGTCCACACTCTTGCAGTTGATGGCATGTAGATTGGGCACATATACGCCCGATCCTCGTTCCCGCACCTCCAAGTGCTTGGAGTTAGGCTTGAGGAGATCGCGCAGCTCCTCCATGTAGATCTCCAGATAGGAGACATCGACCAGAAACTGGAAGTTCTCGGTGCGATTGATGTGCAGCCAGATCTGTTCGAAGGTGCGAGGTATAATGCCCATTAATTCGTCATTCCCGCGCACTCCCTCCATGGTGAAGGTTTTGCCAGTGCCCGTTTGTCCATAAGCGAATATGCAACCGTTAAATCCCTCCAGTACGGAACTGACCAGGGGAAAGACCACCTCGTGGTAGAGCGTCGTCTGCGAGGCACTCGCATCATAGGCCGCATCGTAGGTGAAGACCTTGCGCTGCTCCTTGTTGGCATCCACCACATTCTGCAGCTCCACAACGCCTCTGTTTGGATATACGTTGACCACCTCCGGAGATCCCTCCGAGCGTTCTCGGTTGCTCATGGGCCTGCATCTGACCACCACTTGGACGCACTCGTTGGGCGTCTGGCTGCCGCCGGTTCCGGGTCTCCTTGTCTTGGCACTCATCTCCAAATATCCGGAGACCTTTTTTTGTGTGGTGACTCAGGCGGCTCCCCCTCAAGAAAGTCGGGTAGCTGTGGCGACCGAAAACAAATGACGAACAAAATCAATAATATCCTCTTGACGCAACCATCTGACTTGGCCACTTGTGCGCCCGTTTTGCAAGCAACCTCTTAAGTTTTTAGGCCACTTCAGCGGTTGGGCAAATAGATTTGGCAATCGTCTATTATTACCTGTTATTTTGAAGCCAATTACTTCACCTTGAATCGCTTTTTTTGTCTCGGGCTGTGGTTAACAGTCTATGGATTTTGGATTAATCGAAACGAGTGGTTATCGGGTTATCGAGAAAAAATGTTCTCTGCACTCTTAACAGTGCTGTTAGAAATTTACCAGAAACTGGCTTTCACAGCTGATAACTTAACATTAATGCGCACTGTTAAACTTTTCTGTTAGTAACATTAGAGATTGCAAACCAATTTTTAACGACTTAAAAAATAAGTTTTCACAAAAAAGTGGTAAAATTGCTAGGGGGTGATATTTTATAATCAGATTGATTCTGATTCAATACAATTTTGTTATCCAAAATGCCGCGCCCAGAAAGTTTGTCTAGAACCCACATTTTTAAAGATTTTGTAGAAGTAATAATAAGATTTTGTGCTGCTTATACCATCTAACCATCCAAAAATTGTTCGAATGGACCATTCATGTTTAAAGGTAGAAACTTAAAAATTAACATGTATAATTTTTTAGTTTGTGGCCCCAAAGATTTTTGATCAGTGTTGTTTGTATTTTAATATCTACCGGCTTGCCAAAAATAGTTCAAATTGGGCTTTAAGATAAATTGTTTAGTTGAGTAACAGGTATATGATATATACATATATCATATTTTTCTCGTTTATGCTCGCCATTAACGAACACATTTTTTATTTTTTTGCATTTGCTTACAAATCACGTTTACTGGATTTCGATTTTCCGGAACTAGAACCAGTTTCACCTCGCTTGCGTTTGTTCAGAGGGTTTCGTGGGTCGTAGGCGTCGTACCAATCGTCTCCCTTTTTATTGGCATCCTTAGCCAAAACGGGAGCCGTACTGTTGAAGTTTAAGGTGTGCGATAGCCAGTCGTCGCCGATTATTTCCTGTTCCACTGAACGATCGTCCAAGTCCCTGGGTTCAGGCTCGCAATCATCCGAATTTGACTTTTGTTTCAAGTTGTCCAATTTGGTGCGGAACTTTGAGAGAAGGCTCAGTGTAAATGCCTCCCTAATGGACCAGAAAATTAGCATGAGTACAATTGATATTTGAAAATGAAACACAGCCTACCTTGACTGTCCTTTTGGTTGAAGCTTTGTTTTTGCAGTGTACTTCTCCTTGGACTCAATAAAATCATTAATGTAATGGTTTTCGCTGGACCCCTTGATCTCAGATGATTTTGCTTCTTTCTCCTGTCCATTCGAAACTAGTTTGTCTTTGCTCTGCTTATCCATTTGGTATTGCTTCTTAAGAGAAGCAATTTCTTCACGGATCTTCGATCTAGAAAACATTGTTCCAGTTACATAGTAAATATGAAATATTTTAACCAAGCTTACTTTTCCTCTGAGACTTTCCGACTTTGCTCCTGCTCGCGTGTTAACAGAACATCCTCTTCATCCTCAGAATCAGTCTTTACCTCAACCGGCTTAGATTTCTTATCTGGCCGACTCTTTGAACTCTTGGACAGCTTCATTTTAATAAGATCTGAGCTGGCAGTGGAAGGTTTTTCCTTGACACTGTCCTCCGGGCAATCGTCGGACAAGGCTTCCTCGACTTCGGTCCTTTCTACTGTTGGTACGCGGATGGGTTCCTTGCTTAGTTTAGGATCATCCGAGACGTCGTGCAGGGATTTCGCTTTACCGGAATTCTTTTTTACATAAACGTTGGTCTCCTCCTCATCGCCCTCGGCTTCTTCGCCAAAAGAAAGCAGGCCGAAGTTCCTGTGGATTATTTTGAGAGGTTAGTGACGCACTTCAATGTATTAAAACCGAAGCTAATATTTGACATGGGTTAAATATTGTTATGGTTTGAGTTTAATTAATATTTAAATAGTATGCATGATTATACGGAGTTCTCAAAAGTCTCAAGTTAAATAATTTGGTTACGGTCATGTAGAGATTGGTCTCCTCCTCCATGACTGATTAATTTTTAGGAACTACTCCGCTGATTTAGTGTAGTAAATCAGAACCCTTGCAATTAAAACATCTTACTATATCTTACTTGACTCCTTGTCGTTCCTTCTTGCTCTTTTTGCTCTTGGAGGACGGTTTGGCCAAAGTGCGAGGTATAATGTCATCAAACGGATTCGAGAGCACCTCTGTGGAGACGATGCGATGCGCGTGCATTGGCCGCTCCTGGTGATCAACGATGCCCTCCTCCAGCTTGAGCATGTTGTAGATGGTGTCGCCGGTGATCTTGCCGAACAGCGTATTCTTGTTCTGCAACTCCGGCGTGGGTGCAAATGTGAAGAAGAACTGCGAGGCGTTGTCATCCTTCCCAGAATTTGCCATTCCAACGAGGCCACGTCGCGTGTAGCGCAGGCGGGAGTGGAACTCGTCCTTGAAGGGCTGCCCGTAGATGGACTCGCCGCCGGTGCCATCGCCATTTGGATCTCCGCCTTGGACAATGAAGCCCTTGACCAGCCGGTGGAACTCGGTGTTCTTGTAGTATCCCTCCAGGCAGAGTTGGATGAAGTTCCGGCAGGCTTTCGGACACTCTCGCGCCCACAGCTCGATGTCTATGTCGCCCACTGTGGTCTTCAGAAGGACTTTTCCCGATGTGGGCGGCTCCTGGATGTAAATATTGCTCATTTTTGCCAAGAATTAACAGCCAAACAATTAATTGTTTTTAACAAATAACAAGACTGTTATCGATGTTTGGCGATAGTTATCCCACCTATCGGGTATAGTGTGACCGCAGACCGAGTTGATTTATTGGGTAAGTACCGTTAGTAGATATGTTTAACGGAACTTAATAAGTTTTTCAGAGGAAATATAGATTTTTATCACATCTATTTCGTTAATATTTCTTTTTATCCCTCTGAAATTTGCTTTTTAAAAATATGTGCATTTTAAAACACACTTAAAAAGTCTTTAAAGGGGTTTTAGTTCTGAGGTATTTTTTTTATTGCTTAAACTTAAATATTTCTGAATTTGGTTTATGTTGGTCATTACATTTGGGTCCCAAATATGAATATGGATTGTTGTTAACTCCATCGCTTTCGATAACTTTTCTTGCTGTAGACATTTAAAATTCGTTACCAGGCAACCGTTTTATATTCATGTTTTAGTCTTCTACTTTTACATTTCTTTTATTTGACTTCAGCATGAATTTCAACGACGATCCACTGGCGGATCTGCTGAGCGATAATAGCCTGGATAATGACAACTTTTTCGACGCTCCAGGGGGAGGAGGTCTCAAAAAACCGGCGAAACTGGCCAAGCCCAAGGGCAAACTGGAGGATTTGTTTGGCATTCAGGAGGAGACGGAGGCGGATGTGCAGGGTCAGGGATCGGGAGCCAGGACCAAGCCCAATGCCACCAGCACACCAAGAATTGTAAAGCAGAAGCCGTCGATATCTCTGGACGATGATCTGGCCGAGGACGATGACTTGGGTTTCGATCCCAAGCGACCCAAGAGTGGTGGTGCCAAGAAAAGCCTGTTTGATGATCTGCTAACCAGCAATGTCGAGCCCAAGAAGAACATCTTTGATGAGATTCTATCTGGAGATGCGGGCAAGCGTCCTGCCACCGCCAAGCCTTCGATGTCCCGCCAATCCACGGACACCACCACGGATAATTCGCAGGCGCGACCCAAGACTTCCACGGGCAGAAGGAGCTCCGCGCAATCGGCCACCATTAATGCCGATCCCCTGGGACTTTTTGGCAGGGATACAAATGCCACCGTTTCGGGCATGTCCACGCCGGTTTCCAGGAAGCGGGGAACTACCGCCGATTGGTTGGGTCTGGAACAGGAGCAAGAGCAGGATCAGCGACCCATGACGCCCAAACCACAAAGCCCTAAGAAGCAGTCCTCCAGTGAAGGTCCATCGAAGAGTACAACCGAAATTCTGCGCCTTCCCGACTCCGATGAGAACGAAATGGAGCCGGAACCGGAAATGACTGTTGTACCCGCTCCATCTGGCGTCACTGCCTCTACCCAGAATATCCTCATGCTGAGCAATCTCAATCTGGAAAGCAATCAAAAATTCAATGCCCTGCAGCAACAGGAGGCGCAGTTGGTGATTGCAGCGCAAATGAAGAACCAGGAGAGGACCCTTCTGGAGATGCAGAGGCGCCAGGAGAGCCAGGACCGAAAATTCCAGGCCCTAATCAAACAGCAACTGCAGCGCCAGCAGCAAATGGAGGAGCACATTAAGGTGCAGCAGGAGCGGATCAACATGCACATTCAGCTGATGATGTCACAACCTGTGCATGTCCAGGAAGTGGTCTCCGCACCCGCGCCCCTTGATAAACCGGAAACGGAAACGAAGGAGACCAAAAAGGCGGCCAGTCAAGAGCAGGAGCACTTGCTCCTACTCGAAATGGATGCCAAGCGGAATCTGCTGGAGAAGCAGCGACTGGATGAGCTGGTGGCCAACATGAAGGTCAACTATGAGCAGGAGATCGAAATGATCGATACCTCCTATAAGTAAGTTAGTCGCTATACAGGTTATATTCTTGCAGATATGGTGAACTTATATTTTTTTAAATAAAATATATATATATTTTAATAGTAAGTTTTAATAACAAGTATTTTCAGGTTTAAACTTACCTTAAATTTACTTCTCGAACAGAATGATTTTTAATGTGATAACATATTTTGTTTACATGTTAAACATATTTTCCACTAAAAACTATAAATTTAACCCACGAAAATAAAATATATTTCTGTTTCCAGGAAGCAAATAAAGGTGCTGGAGGAGCACTTGTCCGCCGTCGAAGATCGTCTTAAATTAGAGAACGCGGAGTTACGCCAGTACTACACCGACAAACTGGAGAAGCAGAAGGAGGACTACGTGGAGCAGATCTCCAACCTAAGGAACGATCATGAGGATGAGGTGCGCAAGCTGCGTCAGTCCCACGAACTTGATCTCGAGGGAATTCGTCAGGCCAAGATGCTGGAGCTCTCGGCGGTGCAGGATCACGGCAACTACCTGGAGACGCTTCGCCTGGCCTCCAGCAATCTTCAAGAGCTTCGTGATGGGATGAGTGGCAACCAGGAAAAGGAACGCCAGCTGGAGGCGCGGGAACGTCGATTGGCCGACCAGGAGAGGCGTTTAAGGATGGACGAGGAGACGGCCGACGAGGAGAAGCGCCGCCTGATGGAACTGGTGAGCACGTTGGAGCTGCAGCTGGGCCGCCTGTCCAAGGACTCCGCCGAGGAGAACTGGCAGCTGCGTCAGCGCATGTCCAGTTTGGAGGCGGAACGCAAGGCTTTCGAGCGCGAAAAGGAATTCCACCGCGAGCAAATGAAGCGGGATGAGAAGCGAGTGGAGGACCTAAAATCCCTCCAGTTGGCGGAGACAGAGCGACTGCACCACGATCTCCAGCAGGAGCGCAACCAACTGGCAGTGGAACGCCAACAAATGGAACTGAGGCAGCAGCTCCACGAGCACGGCGACCTAGACAAGGATCGCCGGGAGCTGGAGGCCCAGCTGCAGGTGGCCCGCGAGGCCATCCGGCGGGCGGATGAGGAGCGGGATCGCTGCCACAAGCTACAGCGCGAGGTGGAGCAGCGCAAACGCCTGCTTCTGGACAAGGAGAACGCCCTGAATCTAAAGGAGGACGAACTGGCCCAGGCCACCGGCGCCTATCGAATGGCCACCAGTCGCACTCACCTGGCCGAGCACAAGGCTCGCGAAGCGGACCAGCTGCTCCAGGCCAAGCTCAAGATAATCGGCAAGCGGGCCCACGATCTCGGCGAGAAGGAGGCCCAGCTGGCCCAGGAACGAATGCTTTTGGCGCAGGATCGCATCGCCCTTGTTAATCTGAAGAAGCAGATTCTACGCAGCAGATGTGCCCTGTGCAAAATGGGAGCTGAGTCTGCAGAAATCGCAGTGCGAAGGGGTAATAATAACCTCCAGACAACCACGGACCATCAGTTGCCGCAAATGATCACCAGCAGTGCGGATCTCCTGCTCAAAATGTCCGCTCAAGAACCGGGACAGGTTCAAAGTGACATTGTGGAGCGAATGCTGGACGAAAACATCGAGGCCTCCTACCGCAGGATGTACAATGCTCCACCCAGTAGTTCCCTCGACGATGCTGATTACGGACTTACTGGTGGGCTGGACGATGACTCCAAAGTGGCCATGGATCACGGCAGGAACCTGGATCTGGATGAGGCATTTTTGGCCAACTTTAAATAGAGACTTATTCGGGAGTGTCACTTTAAAAGACTTCAATTATAACAATAGAATCTTATCAAGAAATAAATAAATGAAAGAAAGATGGAACTTTAAAGATATAAAATAGATTTAAATCAGTGGTCGGCACACACATACCATCACAAGTTTGCCTTGCATTAGTGTGAGTGTAACAAACACGAAGTTTGCGCGCGGCGTGCTGTAGCGAGACGTTTCTCTGCTTTGCACTGAGATCCTCTGCCGCAGCAACAAAAAAGCGCGCCGAAGTTGAGAAAAAATGACCCGAAGACCCATGCCGAAGTCACACGAACATGTACGTTATACGTGAGCGAGCAGAGGATGGGCAGAACACTTCCCTATGCTCACTAGATAGGCCGCTGCCGACCACTGATTTAAATATATAGGACACATGCGAGGATATTTTGGCTAAAAGTCCACTCTTTTCTCCCCTCTCTTTTGATTGTAGTTGCCAAATGCATTATAGCAGTACAAAAGAAAACGATATAGTCGATAGTTATAGTCGTTTGTGGGCGTTAGAGTGGGCGTAACACCCTGCTGAAGCTGCGCAGGAAACCCAAGAATCTGCACGCTTAATCCCAACATTCTAGTTCTTATAGTTTCCGAGATCTCAGCTATCATACGGACGGACGGGCCGACGAATATGGCTAGATCGACTGGGCTAGTGATCCTGTTCAAGAAAATGTATACTTTATGGGGTCGGAAACGCTTCCTTCTACATGTAACATACTTTTCCACGAATCTAGTATACCATTTTAAATTGACGTTTATATGTTCCAATATCATTCTGGCCCTATTACGCATATTTATCTTCGTGCTTGCCTAATGGAGCAAACAATCTATTTTACCGAGTTGTTTTTTCACGTTTGTTCCCAGTGATATAATGCAATTAAAAAGTGCGTGTACAAATATAACCAGCTGAAAGTCGACGCAGTGTCAACATGACTCCAGCGAATAAAGTTCGCGAAATATCTTTAAAGTTTGCACAGCTGCTTTGTGGTAGGCTCAGTATTTTGCAAATTTTTATTTGAGTAGCCTGGATCAGATAGTATTATGCGTACGGTTCTCACGCTAATGCGGATAAACCCAAATCCGTCAGATGTTGGCCTCCTACCTTACAAAATAGGTATAAAAAGTGTGGTGGTCCAGCCAGAACAGCATCAGTTGATCGTACCCAACTACCAGTGGCCAACATGAAGTACTACTGTGCGCTGCTCCTTTTGGCCATTCTGGGATGCTGCCTGGTGAGCCTGTCGAGTGCTGCCACAGGCACATCCACAACTACTACGGAAGCCTCCACCTCCACCACCACCACCACAGCCGCGTCCACGACCACCACAACCACCGCAAGCACCACAACCACCACCACCACAGCTGCTTCCTCCAAAAAAAAGAAGCACGTGGTTCACTACAAGCGCAAGACCCGCCGCCCCAAGAAGGTCAGGAAGATCCACCGCAGGAAGAGGCGCAGCGGTTAAACAGCTTTTTATTTCCTTCAATCCGACTCGATTTGTTTTGAGCTCAAACTTCTTAAATTCGGCTCCTGTTATGGTTAAATTCTCAATAAAGTTCCCTACACCTTATTTCGCTGGATTGTTTTTTTTATGTTTTTTAAATGTTTCTTTGGGTTTTACGCAATATTTATACCCGCTACTCGTAGAGTAAAAGGGTATATCAGATTCGTCGGAAAGTATGTGACTAGCCATGTCCGTCTGTCCGTATAAACGCTGTGATCTTGTCTCGGAAACTATGAAAGCTTAAAATCATGGATTAGGCATGCACGTTCTGCGGCTCCCACAAGATATTAATTTTATTTCATTCCGCTTGTTAATACTTAGTCTCCTTACACAGCCGCTTAAAATTGCAAAATCGATCTTTTTCACTAAGAGAATAACTGAAGATAAAAGCTGATCGGCATAAGCAAATGCAGTTGGTCCGAAACAATTTGTCGTTGTTCCGGGCGTGGAGTAATATCAACTTGAACTTTACGTTCATAAAACGAAAATAAAGAAACGGTAGACATGAAAGTAGTCACCATCTCTGCGTGAAAAAAAAGTTTCACTTATCCCACTTTTTGAATCAAGGCGCCTTCCATACTTCCATTTTCATAAATATGTGTCATACTTTTCCACATCTGGCAGCACTCTGCTAATCGAACCCATTTCCGCAGTAGCATCAATCGATGCTTCACAAAATATATCGATTTGTGTTTCCATCTCTAATGCTTGTTGCATTCCGTTTTGCGTTTGGTATTCGCGTATTCGCATATAAAAAGCTGTTTTTTAATGTACATAACTCAATAAATGTGTAAATAGTACATATGTGATAGTGCAGGAAAATAATATAGGGAAATAACAATTTGATCAGTATTTAGGCGTTTTGTCCATTCCGTTTTTGTCAAAGTTATCTGTTCGTGTTCGTGTGTGTGTTCGTTTCGCATGTGTGTGTGGGAGTAGGTGTGTAGGAGGAGAAGCACCTCCCCTTCCAAAAACAAAAAATAACCATTCGGAAAGTTACAAGCATTCGGTGTTCGGTAATTATAACATTATAACGTAAAGGCAAGGAAAACAAGGGAGAATCAAGCGCTATACCAAATGGTCTAAATTCGTAACCCCAGCCAGTAAAAATCGGAACACGAAAAAAATCAGCAGAGGTGACACCTCGAAAAGCGAGTAAGTTGGCAATATGCGAATGAGAATCACATAGAAGAAGACGAGTCTGCATATTAATGACAATCTCCATTATCATTAGCGCTGCGTTCGCCCTTCCACCCAAACTCATCGTTTCGAAATTTCAGGCTTTCTTTTGCCATCAAATAAATTGGCAATCAATTGAGTTGATTTCTTGTTTATGAATAGTTTATTTGCATTTGTTGTAATCTATTGATTTACCTTAACCTTTGCGGCAAAAATCCTCTCTTTCTCTCTCCTGCTCTCCCTCGCCGGTTCGCATTTTCTTATCTTCCATTGCCTCTCCTTTCGCCGAGCGCACACACACTCGCGCCCATTGTGGGTGTGTTTATGTCGAACAGCTGTTTCCTATCTGCATACGAAACGCTTTCAATGGGAAAAAATCAAAACGCTTCCCTTGCAGATATACATATGTACTTATAAATGTACATTCTCTGGGGCATTGGTACTAGCAGCATTCATTCACGCCAGTTGATGCCGCCGCTATTGTTTGTATTTATTTATTTATTTACAATTGCGCGCTCAATTGCGCCATTTGCGCCATTCGGCTGTATCGCAATCACAAATTCGAAGCGCTTGCAATTGGTTTATATATAAACCATATTGTATATGTTCGTACAACATGTACAAAGTACACAAGTATTAGCATGGATCCGCAATATATTGTTCATATCTTTTCGGAATAGGAACATTCTGTTTACTTATCACACTTAAAAAGTGGAAGACCCAACTTCCCACATTAAAGTAAAATTTCATTTTTTGGTGTTTCCGTTCGTACCATCCAGATTCGAAATACTTCAGAGTAAGGGACTATTGGAATTTTGTGGAAAAATGGTAAACTACTCCTGACAATAGATTTGAATCGGTTCCTTTAAAAGATACTCATACGGCATGTTATTTACTTAGAATTAAAAAAAATATTGATTTTCCCTTACTAATTTAATCAACTATCTGATCTCATTTAAAAACTTAAAGGAAATACCGAGAATTCTAGGTTGGTAAACTACAATGTGACGCAAAGCCAACTGTGCGTATGAGTAATAAACTTTTGAGCCAATATGGTCTTTAATGTTTTTTTGAAAACAAATTTTAAGATGTTCTAGATGGTTTGTTAATAATTTTAATTTTTTATTGGTTACTCTTAGCTTCTTGGGTAAAATTTTTGTACTTTACAAATAATACGATATATAGATATCCGCTTTATGATTAACATATTTTCATTTCATTATAAAACTTAGAAGTAATATGTTTCTTTGATTAGAAAATCGATTTAATTTATAAGAAAAATTATAAATTTGTAATTTAAATCTTGATCGAAAGTACACAACTGGTTGAATGCATGAAATAAGGCTGATGACGCTCAACTATCGAAACTATTTAAGCATTCAATATGTTTTCGCCTGGTTTCTGAATCACCCTATCGGTGCCCGCCGGTGATCGCCAATGCTTATTGACGGTCCTCTTTTGGAACTCTATAAAAACCTAGCGATAGGCACCACCACTCTTTCAGAAGGGGTAGTCCCCCCATCGTACCATTTCTCACCTGTTCTTCGTCCAGGTACTCATACCACTGCCTTTTACACGGCATAATCGCTTTTATCGCCGCTTGTTTGTTATCGCAGCGATAAGGGAGTCAAAAAAGCAAACGCCTTTGTTCACCACGGGAATAACAAATAAAGCATTGAAAGAGAAAATACTAAAAAAATTGAAACAAAATTTGAAAATTTCTTACTTTCTGTTCTGGTCGTCATTCGCAGTTCAACGGAACGGACGCTTCAGAGGGGATAATGTCAAATCAGGCGCAGATCGACTACGACAAGCAGTTCCAGGATGACCTGGCCAAAGCCACCGCCCTGAGTCTGGAGCAGCAGGCCCTCGACGATTACCGGCGAAACAAGAAGTACGGATCCGGCCCTGGCTACCAGCAAAGCTCCTACCCTTCTGGTCGGGATTACCAGGCGGCGCAGCGAAGCCAGATCCTTAATCAGGCTCGTCGCCACTCGGAGGTCCACCAGGTGGCCGCCAGTCCTGGAAATGTGGAACGATCGCGCACGCCGCCTGCTCAGGGATCGGATAACGACCTGATCTGCTTCGCAAGTCCCACCAGCAAGCAGCCGGAGAGTAGCAGTCCCTTTGGCAAACTCATCGAAGATCTGCAGCGAATGCAGCCAACCAATCCGCAATCTGCTATGGTTCCCATGGGATCAGTAGCGGCGGCATCGGTGCCGAATCATTACGGCTATCCTCCTCAACAGCAACATCCGGCTCCGGTTCAACCGCCACCATATGGCATGGTTGCAGGAGGAGGAGGACCAGGAGGTGCCTACGGTGACCTGCAGCTGGTGCCATACCAACCAGCTGCTCAACAACAGAGGCCCCTGAACAACGAGGAGCTACAGCGGCTGTATAGCATGCCTGCTCAAATGGCCGTGGCTCCAGTGCCTCAACCAAACGCCTATTTGTATTATCCGGGAGCAGTTGTAACGCCCTACACGGCACCCATAGTCCCCGGGTCGGCTGCTTTTATGCCGCCGCAGTATCCATCGCAGGGATATGGTTTTGGAGGTGCTTACACGCACATGGATTTGCGGCGTCCTCAGTCGCAACCAGCTGCTCCAGCACCGCCAACGAGCCATCACAGCCAACCGTCCAATCATTCCGCTTCCTCCCCAGCGGAGGCAAATGGAGCAGCCTTCCTCCAGGCGCGACGTCAAGTGCCCTCGACTGGCAGCATAAGCTCCAGTAGCCACACCGGAAACAACGGTCATCCACCTGGCCCACGCCGGGGAAACGATTTGATTGACCTGAACAACGAGGATTAGTATGTATCACTATCGATGGTCAAACGATGATTTTCTGTTTGTAACATGTTATTCTTTTGCCCTTTCAGCTCCCGTGTGAGTGTGCTGGAGGCTTTCGATCCCCTGCTCAACGACAATACCGGTAAGCAACCGCAATGTTGTAATTAACGTGTAGCTCCCGGACCCTCGCCAAGATCCCCATAGATTTTTCGCACCGTAAACCAAGTTTGAAATATAGTCTGAAAATCGAAAGTCGCTATTCCTCGGCAGAGAACTGAAAATAAACCTAATTGGCCTAATTACCATTTTCTGATAAGCCTATTTCGATTTGTTATCTACTTCAACGATATATCTAAGATATGGGAAAAATTGTAATGATGTTAAAGAGAAACCATTCATTTAAATATGCAAAAATGGATTAGGAACTTGGATTAACAAATTATTAAGTTACAATTTTTAATTTTTATTTCAATTGGTGATTACTTAGCACAGTAATTTAAAAAAAAATTAAATAGTTTAAAACCATTTGCCACCTTTTTTGCATCTAATAAATTGACTAACTCTTCAACTTGCCAAGGACAGGTCTCCATTAATACTAATTAGGTAGTTTCATTGTTTCGAGACTTTTCCAGTAGCAAGTCGTTAGACGCCTTTAGTTAAGAACTAAACTGAATGTTTTCGTTTCTCTATATTCCAGTGTCGAAAAAGTAATCCATTTTAATTGCAAGTCCTCTACTACTATCAGTACTACTACTACCAAAACTGCAAAAAACAACTACTTTACACCTACAACAGCTACACCATCTAACAGGTTTCGGGTCGGTTTGGTTCGTTTCGGAGGCAAAGACAAATTAGTGTCTATAACAGCACACACTTAGAACCACCTACTTACACACAAACTAAATAATTGTGCCCTCATATCGAAATTTGTGCCTTCCGCAATCACCGAAATAATTTTGAAGACAGCTTGTATATCGATGTCGTATAATATTCGTGCATAATGTTTGAAAATGTTTTTATGTATGTTAATGCACTTGTAATAATCAAACAGTACTGATCTTATCAAAATTTAATAGAA